GACACACACACACAGTCGTTGCTTCCGCAGAAGGCTGATGGAGAGAAGCAGACCGACATGCGGGGATACTTGGTTGACAACGAACCCATTGGACAGCTGTTCAAGGTGGTGCTCGGGCAGCAAGGCCCTCCCTCCAGTAGCCAGCATCCTGGCCGGCCAACGGACATTGGACACTGAGGCCAGACGGCAGGTAGCTCGGCATGAGTCTCCACGAATGGCTATGTGCCGGCCGGGGCTTTTGCTGCCACACCCCTGACCCCCTTCTCCCAACGAACTCCTCCATAGGGCAAAAGAGCCTACATCACGCAGGCATCTGATTCGTAGTAACCACCCCTCCCCTCCCCAGAATCTCGGGCGTTACTGAGCGGCCAGAGCCTATGATCGAGCTTCTTTGACCAGCCCTCTGCCTTGCAGACGCATCCGTGCCTGTATGCGTGTGTATCTGCATGAACTGCCGTTGCCTAGCTTAATTTTCCCCCGGATTTTCTCTGGCCACCACCCCGGGCAATATGGATGAAGCATGGGCCTATGGCGGCGTGCCTGAGGACCCGGCATCGAACGACTGGTAGGTGACAGGTCATTCCGATCCTAATAGATTCGGGCTAGGAATGAGCCTCAGCCAATCGAGACAACAGAGCGAAGCCCATTGTTCACACACTCTCGCCCAGTGCCCCTTTTTGCTGAGGGTTTGAGATGTGCCATTTTTAGGAGGGGCCTCCCACCTTTGGCACAAGTAATAGGGAATGGATAAATATCCAGAGCAAGCGCAGCGCCAGATGGTGCCCCCTGCGCCATCGCATCACCCACCCGGGTTTTTATTTAGCCTTGGCTGGGCTAAAGGCCTAATAATCCCTCCAAACCACCAGTTCGTTTGAGAAAAAGCAAATTTGGCCACCGCCGTACCGAGGACATGGGTCCCACTGGGCATCAATTGCTCCAAAAGAGCTCATTCCCATCCTCGCCTCCGGCGCTCGCTTGGAGGCAAATGAGCGCGGAGTCCGGGGCAAGCCCAGTTGCTATTCCCCTTGTCAGTTCTCTGGCCATTACTAGTCGCCCTTATTTTTTTTTTCTCCCCTATAGCCATGTCTCATGCCTGCCTTGCCCCAACGGGACGGCCCGTTGCGCCTTTCGAGCCGTTGCGCACGGGCCGTCGCTCCCACCCCAGCCAAGGTAGGAAAAGAAGGAAACCAGAATAAACTGGAGGGAAATAGACAAACGGAGAGCCTGGGGTGCTAGACCGGATGGCGAACCTTGAGATTCCGAACGGTCCCCCCTCCATCTATTGGCGCGGGAGGCCAGGGCGTGATTGTAAGAGGGAAAAGCCCGGGGCCCTAGGGGATTTTCTTAGCTGGTAGTTGGCGTGTGAATCTATCTGTGGCGAGTGAGACGATCAATAGCAGTAACAGCAAGCCCAACAGTGACCTAATCCCGGTAAGCCCAAGAGTACTCGATCCGGCCACCTTTGGAGGCCCGTGTCCAGTTCCTCTGGGTCAAATAGGAGAGAAAATAACAAACCAAGTCCTGCATCCAAGCCCATGACCGCGTCCCTGCAGCTGGCCATAGCCTTGCGTTTCAGTGAGGCCCGCCCCCCTTGTGAGTCAAGACCCGGCTCGCCCATAGTGCCCTGCCTTGCCGAGTTCATGTAGTAATACCGGGCTGGCTGCCCATGTCATACTTTGACAGCGGGCGGGCAGGAGAAATGGCTGAGCATAGATCGATAAGCCAATGCCAAATCATCCTGTGTTATAAACCATGCCTGAAGGAATTGAGCCCAGTTTGCACACCCCTCCAATTCAGCCCGCAAACGCACCGGATGCATCTCGTCTCCCTCAGCCAGGACCACTAAAAGAGAGAAGGCATGATGCAGGCCCTTCCGGAAGCAGAAGGTCAGCTAATCAGACACCATGTTATGCTGGCTTCAAGCCCTGCGTCATCGTGGAGTTACATGTCGTCCTGGTAAAATTAATGCCCCGACGGAAAGGGAGAGCCATTGATCTAGCTAGGTGGTCTCCTTGCCTCCTCAACTTGCCCGCGCTTAATCTTTCTTTCGAGTAGAGCTGGCATAGTCCCCTCATCATGGAGGGGTGTGTCTCTTTCGCTCAGTTCCTTCTCACCCCTGAACCCTGCGGGCTGAAATTTTTCGTCCGTCAGGGAATGCCCTCTTGTCGTCATCCTGTCTAACGGCAATGGATCTCGCTGTCTTGAGAAAACTTGCCCAGAAGGTGGATAGATCTGGCAGGGAGGTGGGAGGGGCTAAGGCAGAATGATGGACAAGTGAGCTTGCTGGGGTGGAGTAAGGCTCTCGTGGCTCGGTATAGATACTTTCATTTCCCCTCCTCCCCTCCCCATCATTCAGAACCGCCGTCCGGATGGGACATGCTGCCGTCCCCCTTGAGACGCATGCTTCTGGGCTCACTTGTCTTGTGACTCAGTCGATCGGGCCGCCAGCCTTCGATCAGTGTGGGTGACACCCTCAATGTTGTGTGTGTTGCGACCCCGGATCTCGTCTCCTCACGCCCGTGCCCATTCACATGTCCTCTAGGCCGTGCGAGACAATGTTGTCCATGTTTTTTCCATTTACACCCCGTACCACGTAATGCGTCGTGACAGGAGGTGTGATGGGCAGCCAAGTGCTGTCGGATGCGCCCCCCTTGCTTCCGTGATCTCACAGTTAGCACGCACGCCAGGTCCTGCCCGTCCTGTCTTGTCTTCTTAGGTGGACCAGTAGCCACACCCTAATTATGGAACTCCAGGCGTATTCTTAGTCTTTCCCACGCGCGTCTTTGATGCAATAGACCCCTTCCTTTAGCCCAGCTGAGTGTCCGCAGGTAACTTGCGTATTGAGAATCTTCGAGACTTTGATGACAGGGATTTAGGGGATAATGAGGCTACAGAGGAGGAGTAGGGGGGGTAAACGGGCTATATTATCAGCAAAGGACAGTCACGCAGGGTGGAGAAGCGCCACTTCGTGCTTGGGAACAGCAGGGCCCAGAGACTGACCAGACAACCTGTGCCACGTTGTCTTGGTTATTGGACGATCTGCTCTCAGTGCTGCCATGGGCTTTGGAAAGGCGAGGATCCTGGAGCAGTGAGCCATCCATTCTCCCCCAACTGCGACACAATAGACTGTCAGCCCGCCTGAAGGTTCATGTGAGAGGAGAGTCATGCACCGTCATTGTGTGCAATAGGCAGCCCTTGTTCTTATCTCGCTTCACCGTTGTTCTGTCGAATTTCTCCACGATTCGGCTCACCGAACTTCTACTTCCTGTCAAAACCTGCTGATGAGGGCTGCCGGGGATGGCGTATTGGAGGGTGGCTGTCTCCTTGGCCGCCTAATGATTAATTTAACAATAGAAAGGAAAAAGGAAACATCTATTCATGATGTCCGAGGTCAATGCTGCTGGCCAAGACGGCTCGGTTGTGACATAGTTCTCGTCCGACTTTTCCTGCATATGAAGCAGGCTGCTGTGTCATCTATTGCGAATAAATGCAAGACTGTTCAGCCGCAAATTTGTCAACTGTGAAAGATTTCAGGTTCCGATACTGTAAAATAGTCGTTTTAGGTAGTTACGATACTTTGTAGTAGTCGTTGAGACAGCAAGATGCCTGTCACGGTGACAGGCAGTGGGAGGGCTACCGGCTCCTCCATAACGGGGGATATCGGCCGTAGGACCACTAACGGGCCGCACAGGTACACAACCAAAGATTCAAGCAACCCAATTCGTGACTGCCAAACCTGCGAACTTGCTGGGGGTGGCAGTGTTGGAAGGCTCGAGATTACTCGACTGAATAAACGTTGTGCCCCATATTTGCACCCGACCTCTGCTTCGTGTGCTTGCCCACCTCCGCCTCCATCAACGAATCATATACCCGACATCCACCGGGGAATTCTTCAATGAAATAGTTGAAAGAAGAACAGGGCTTTGTTTTTTTTTCCTGCTTCCTGACACTTGTCCGTCCTCGGAACGAACCACTGTGCCCCACAGCGGCCGCAGATCGAGTCGCCCCCTTATCCGACTGAGTGAGGCCAGGCCGAGGCCCGCAGCGGGAAGCTTGCAGGGCGTCCTGATCAAAACATTCTCAGACGCGAAGCCTAAAGGTGGTGCGTGTTATGACGAGGGGGGACGCTGCTATGATTGCTGGCGGTGCGCCGTGGCCCTAGGCGCATGTGTGTATGTATGTATGTATGTATGTATGTAGGTAGCAAGTATGTGACCTGGGAGGCCGGGGTTCAGGTGCCCAATTTCCCACGCATTAGGCATGAAGAAGCTTGGACTAGCCGGAATTCTGGAGATCTGTATAGGCATGCCGGATCCAATATTGGATTGCGTTGTGTCTGTATCCATGCGAGAGAGATACGACAAGTGTATGGGAGACACCATTCCCGGGCTACCATTGATATCCATGCCATACATGCAAGTCCATTGCCCTTAGGTGTGTAGAAGAGTTGAGAGATGCACATTACTCGGATCTTGGGGGGAAAACTAGACAGAGATGGACAGAAAGAACATCTAGGCGGTGGACGAGAGAGCAGTTTCCAGCGGATAAGACGATTTTAGAAATAAAACGGGATAAAAGGAAACAATAACAATAAATCATTGGCATCAGAATATTCGACAGGCTGCAGGGACTTGAGTGATGGCCGTCGCATGGTCACGACTAGGCCAGGAACGGCCGTGGACGAAGGGGGGTGGGGTGGAGGGGGTGTATCACGGGCCCGTACGTACGAGGGTGTGTGTCCTTCTAGGCGGCCAGCCAGTGAACGAATTGATGGGACGTAGCCAGCCATGGGGCTTTACGTAGGGATGCCCAATGCCCGTATTGAGGTTTGTCCCACAGCAGCGCAGGATGATGTTTGAACAGCGCAAGAGGAACGCTTGTTGGTCGCTGGAGTCCCACTGACTTCTGTGATGTTGAGTGCTGACGGGAGGGCCATAAGGCGGCGATCAAATTGGAAAAGGCTCAGGTCGGGCAGATATAAGTTGAGGCGCGCATCTCAGATGGTTCCCGGCCTGGCATATTCAATCAATTCGACCTTGCCAACGCCGACCTGCAGCGAACGGTGCGACTTGGGTGGACGAACGAACCCTCCAAAGGAAAGACGTTGGTGGATTGTGTTCCATCTCAAGCCCCCAAAAACTCGACTATATCTAGGGCTATAGCCTGCTGTGCTGTGCGGTAAGTCCTCTCTTGTTCTGTGCCTTACGACCAACAACCACTCACTGCTCCTTCGCCAATGTAATCCCCGGAGTTTGTGTTGAAAAGACCCTCATGCCTGATGTACATGCCGGAACCCAATTACCAACGTTGTGGACTGAGTGTCTTGGCAGAGCCGAAGGAATCCGTCTATATTGCTGCGCCCGTTCTCGTCGGCCGACCGTCCGGCGTTCAATCATGTGTTACTTCGATCAAACCCGCTGGACCTGCGGCTACTGGAGATGGGGCCACTTCCGTCAGCAGTGCAACAAAGAGTATCGAATGGGCGAGACCTGTGGCCTCAAACTCGTCTATGAAACCAAGCCAGAGCAAGGTGTCTGCAAGTTGTGTCGAGACATGGAGAAGAAGCAGCGGCGATACGACAAAATGTGGCGCGACGTGGAGCGCTGGCAGCGAGAGGGCGGAAAGCCTGCCACTGTCGAACGAACAATGGGCGAGATGCAGGAGGTGCTAGGACAAATCTATCGCTTAAAAGATGAGCATGACCATCGGCTACAGTCCCTTGGCCAGGTATGAACGAGCCCGCTTCCCCATCAAAACCGAAGAGGAGCGGAAGCCGAGCCCTTGTTGGTATGCTGCTCTGGTACATGGCAAGCGGTAACTAACTCTGCCCACCTCTGCAGTGATGAAGCCAGGATAAGGCGGCTCACAGAACGCAGTAAAAAGAAACAAGACGGGTCAACAAGACGAGAAAAAACAAATAAACAGGGGGATGTCGCTTATACAGGCATGTTTCACGAAGGGAATGGGAAGAGTTGCTATCAGTTGTCTGTAATTTTGCTTTGAGCTTTGACGTTGCGAGGGTTTGATCATCAACGGAAACCCCCTTCACTTTCATTTGTCTTTTTTTTTTCTCTCTCTCACTGCTGGGGCGCGTGCTCGAAGGCTGAAGAATGGAGCCAAAATTTGATCAGCACCGGGCTCCAGTCCCCAATGTAACGTACTCGAGGAATATATGCGCTGCCATAGATCGGAGTTGGCATAGCTTTGGTCTGTACCACTTGTCTTGGGTGTTCTTGCTAAGGCTTTGGGGAAATAGTGATGGTAATATACACCGAGCTCGGAAAAAGGAGCTACCAATCGTCAGTGCCGAGCTCAGGTTCAGATAAGTCTTGGACTGTGCCTATTGGAGCCGATCTGTAATGGAAAGGAGGGGACGGCATGTCTTGTGTGTGCCAGAACACAAGAGAGGGGGGCCGCAGGTGGGAGGGTCCTCTGGTAGCGGAGAGGAATACAACAGACAGCTATGCGCTAGGGATTGAATGGGAATGGCAAAAGACCGCGGGAAATCACAAAGAAGTGCCGAGCAATGAGCCAGCCAGCCAATCCAGCTCGACGGCAACCACCTGGTCAGTGCCAGGGTAGTAGCCATCATGGAATATGGATAGCTGCCCAGTATTTAGGGCTCCCGCCATCAAAGGTTCGCGTAGCACAGTCAGAGGTCAGTCAGTGCCCTACCCTGGTCAGTTGCTCATCATCGTTCCTTTTCTAACCCTAACTTCGGGACGCTTCCAGTGAGTGCGTCAGACGGGGTATAGAGCCAGATGGGGTAGCCCCTGTGAAAACCCAGGATGTAGGTAGACGGCGCGGGCCTGCAAGGCAATGCGTGAACCCAGCCCAGGTAGATTGGTCGAGGGATCAAGCGAGAAATACCGCACAAGGTGGCCCACGTCCCTGGGTGCAGTGGTCATGGGTGCCTCAGAATAGAATCGTGACGTGTGAACAACGCGGGAAATCGAGCAGGGTGATGCAATGACCCGGCAAAGCGGGCAGAGGATTATGAGATTGGCACAAAGCACATTAGGGCCTCCACACAATGGACTTAACCAGGAGGCGAGTTCACTACTGGGTTAGTTAGACGTCAGAAGCAGTTCTAGGCCGAGGGCTGAACCCTCTCTATTTGCTCTGCACCTCTGGAGTGTGGCGCTGTCACCAGAGAATGGATCCGTGGGTTCGGAGAAGGTCCTACTATGGACATGAGCGTGGCCAAGGCGCAACCCAGAGTCCTGGGAGAAGAAGTGCGGGCACATACCCTTGTTCTCCCACAAGTGCATTGGTATCTTAGCCCTTCCTCCTCCCTCTTCTTCTTCTTTGCCCACAGGGTGAGAGGAGAGAAGCACCTCAAGTTAAAACTGGGTCAGCAACCTAGACTTATCACTGCGTGTTGAGCTAAAGGTTCTCCACTGCCGAGATGCGCACGTGTTAGATGCTTAATGGGCACCATCCGGGGCATGGTCTGGTCACTGGTGCTCCTATTATCGACGGCCCGTTGCCATGGAAGTCTAGCCATGATCGGCGAGCTGCCGTGTGAACCAGTACGCTTCTGTGAGGAGAGATTGGTGCTTGGACTAATGGCATGGGCTGGCGGGGCCTGTTTAGGATTGAGATTGAATTTTTTTGTATTCGATTGGTGTCTTTCAGTTGAAGTGGCCCGTGCCATCCACACCGGCCTTGGAAGAATTAAAAAAATATAATAAAAAGAAAAGGGTCATTATGAAGGTCGAAAAAATTATAGTTCCGACTTCTGAGCGCGATATAGCGTCGAGCTTATGAGCGGCCGCGACGGACCGAGAGGGCCGTCTCCGCCCGCTCGGGGGTATCAATTTGCGAAAAGAGAATTTTTTGGTCCAACCCACGCTCATTTCAGCCAAACCCATATAGAGACAGGGGCGTCTTCTGCAGCTTACACCTTGTGTTGCCCACCATTACTTACGTTTCATCATTTGATCGTCTTGGAAGTGGTCGACGCAGCGGCAGCGGCATCAGCGAAAGTCCCGACCAAGGCCCCTTCATCTCCTTCCACGGTCGTTAGGCTTTCTGGGCGGTTTCGATCCGGCTCGGCTGCGTCATCGTCCAGCAGCCAGTCTACTTTAACCTCTGCTGGCGGGGTCTCTTCTTGAGAATTCAGTTTCGAAACCAAGCGCTGGTAACGCGCAAGACGTGCGCCCTGGCCTGTGTACGCAAAATGAGCAGATGGCCCATTGGAAGCTCCCAAATGAGGTGTGATTTCAAACACATCAACCATATTGCTGCAACAAAAACAGGAAGTCAGCATAACCGAACCGCTTACTCTGCTGGAAGAAAACTCGTACTTGGATGTTTTGGCAACTACGCTCTGGATCGCCTCGTTCTCTCGCTGGACCTCGTTCGAATCGTGCTCGCCGAAACTACCGTAATTGACCCCATGCTCCTCTTCGTAGATCAGGGCAGTTTCCTCGTCCTAGATAAAAAAGAGACACGTACAGGTCAGACGAGGTTTGTGGGGGGCAAGAGCATGGAAAACGTACCTCGCGCAGGGCATCGCTGTCACGTCGCCCGAGACATGACTGGCAAGCTCCCATGATGGAAGCTACAGCTAAGGGGAAGGTGGTTTGGCCGGTAATGCTGTGGAGAAAATGGTCGTAGAAAGGGCCCGTCGTCAAGGGAGGAGGAGTCGTGGAGGCGAGACAGTCAGGACGGCTCTACCCTCGCGTGATGTGGTGATGTTGCATGTCGTTGAGCTAATCTCGCGACTTCCAAACTAGAGCTGGTTTCTTGATGCCTCAGGCCGTAACGTCTGGGAACCGGTGGCGTTCGGGTAATCCGCGGTCCGCTTTTGGTGCACCAGCCTGTCGGTAAGAGCGAACGACAGCAGCCTGCAGGTGCATAATATTGAAATGCGACCTTCAATTCTCTCCTCTCCTCCTCCATCATCACTAGGAGAAACGCCTGCGCTGGTCAGACTCATTGGGATTGCCGTCGCTATGCACCCATAGCGGCACCTTTACTGGGCGCTATCCCTTCCCTTCATGCTAATCAATGCCTGATACACAGGCCGCGATTGATGAGGGAGCTCAGCTGCCCTGCTCCCTTCAGTGATTGAGTCAATCAATTGCCTCCCCTACAACAGGGCAGCCGACCCTCAATATCCTCAATATGCGACCACCCCCTTGCGCCTTTTCCCGAATATCCAATACTGACTCTATGCTATCGTCGCCAAGCAATTTCTCCTAGTAGCGTTGTGGGCGGCTATTTGTGATGCCTTCCGCCGAAAGACACTCAAGTCCATACCCGAAGGGATTGGGGCCATTGGAATTCCCCAGTGGTCTTCTTTCTCCCCTAGAGGGTCACAGAAGACAATATTGAGGATCAATCTAGGGCTACGGACTCCCTTCTACATCGAGACGGGACCACTTCCAGGATGGCCCGCTCTGATGCTTGACCTGCTACACCTTGACCATTGCAACTAACCTTGATTCTCTATAAAACCCATGATATTCTCTAGGATTCTCATGTTCAGCATCACATCTCGACAACAGTTCTTCACCGTTCTATAACCAGTAACCTCCCCCAGCTTCACACCTTACACAACTCCCCGAGTCTCTTCGACAAACCAGTCCTTCGTCCCGCAGACCCTCACCAAAATGGTCTCTGCTTTGTTGTCACTTGCCGTGGTCTCCGTGGCTGGCCTTGCCCAGGCTCGGTCCGAACTATTCCAACGGCGTGTCAACGACGAGTGCTGTCCCTGCCCGGTATCCGGATCTCCAGGTCCTCAGCCGCCAGTCACCGTCACAGTCACCCACCCCGGTCCTACAGCTCCAGACACCGTAACAGTCTTTGTCACGCAGGGACAGCCAGGGCCTTCAGAAGCCGCGAAGGAGACGGTCACAGTTAGTCACACCGTAACTGCTCCGGGTACAACCATCACCGCCCCAGGAACTACGGTTACTGCTCCGGGAACTACCGTGTATGTTGGTGGCAGCGTCCCTGCTGGGTCATCACCTTCGCAGCCACAGACCAATCTTCCCAGCCCCGAGCATGGGAATCCGAGTGCCAACGAGAACAGGGTTCAAAAACCGTCCGTCATCACTCACACTGTCTTTTTGCCAAACCAGTCAGCCCACATACCTGCAACAAACAGAGTCAGCGTTACCACCGTCACTGCGACCCTACCTCAGGACAACACACACCAGCCGGAAGCGACTGGTTCTCGGCCTTCCCCCAATACACCATCTCCGAATAACTCGAATGGGTCCGGTTCAGGAAACTCTCAGACCCCGAGCAACCAATCTCAGAACATCCAGACTCCAAACAAAGAGGCATTCATCAACCAGGCACCCAACAACCAAGCGCCCAACAACCATCCCTCCAACAATCAGGCGCCTAGCAATCAAGCACCGGGTATCCAAACTGTCACTGTCAGCCAATCCCCCGATCCCAAGGTGCAGACGGTTACAGTCACACAGGGAACTGCCAACACCCAGCCCGTGCAATCGGCCAGCGTCGTCACCGTGACCGCCGCACCAAACTCCCAGCCTATTCCACCCTACGTCCAATACCCCGAATTCTACCGGACCGTCACCCAGACCATCCACAACGGCGACACCACAAACATCGAGATCAACATGGTCAACATCATCAACGGCAACACCTTCTGCATCGTCCAAGGCACCAACAACCCCTGCGGCAACAACGTGGTCATCAACAACCCCAGCAGCCCACAGACTACCTCCAGCCCCAACCATCCCCAGGCAGCAGCAGCCGGTGGCCCATCGTCGATGATCACCACCACCTCCTGCCCAACGCCCCAAAATTCCACCAGCATCGCTACCGTCTACAACACCGTCACTGCCACCATCAGCCCGGGCCGCGGAAGCAACGACACCGCCGGGTTCTGGGCCGCCCGTCCCACAGGGGCAGATCGGCTCCCTCGCAGCCCCGTACACAGGGTATGGTAGGCAAGTCGAGTCGCGGTAGTTGGCGCAGATGGAGAATACTCCTCCACCCGTGTGTTCGTCAGAAGGGGTAATAATCACATTTCCACGGCATTTTCTAGTGTTTTTCATCATATTCATATACGCTTAGTAGACCCGTTCCTGGGCTGTTTTGTTTGTTTGTTTAAACCTAATGGTCTGCATCTCGCCCCCTTTTAGATTATAATATAATATAATTCAATCTTTAGCATTTACTCGAGTTCCTCCAAAGTGACGTATTGTATCGTGTTGAATAAAATGTTTATCTCCTTGGAATAAAATCTAGCCCTCAAGACCACAAGAGAGCAACTCCCCCATCGCTCTCCAACACCCAAAAACACTGCATCAAGATCCCGTAACATGTCATCTCAATCACATAACATCACTTTGGATCGCAGTCTCGAATTTCATCCTTGACATTGTGGTATCATTATCCATTATCAACGAGCGCTAAGGAGACGAACACAAAAAATAACTGAACTACCACCTCAGTCACTTCCCTCTCCCCCGGATCCAACACTCATCCAAAATATATATATACACTACACCGACGATAAAAGAAAGCAATCGGGACCAAACTCGAGCAATTTCCCCCCCGGTCCGATTAGCTTTTCCAGGAATTGGCAACCATTAGGAATCTCGGCACTATCAAGCTTTGCCGTCGAACCGCTCGTCCTGGGCAGTGAGCTGGACCTCCTTCTCGACCTGCTCAAAGTCGATGTGGGCGTTCGCGTCGTCCCCGTCGAAGATTTGCGCAATCTCCTCGAGGGTGGGGCCCTTGGTCTCGACGTAGAAGAAGTAGACGAAGACGAGCTCCAGCAGGTCCCAGAGGGTGTAGAAGAGGAGGAAGTTCCAGTGGTTGGGCATGTTGTCCCAGGCGAGCTTGTTGGTTTGGCTAAGGCGGGGGTCAGTCAGTCAACTGTGCTCTTGAATGGACAGAGTGTATGCGAGGGGAAAACTTACTTTCCGAGAGCCAGGATGGCCTGGACGGTGATGTTCATGATCATCATACCCTTGGCACGGAGATGGAAGGGGAGAATCTCGAGGGCGTAGCTGACGAGAAGTCCAGAGAAACCAATACTGTAGAAGACACCGAAGATCCAGATGAAGGGAAGCTGGGCGTATCCAGCGCCGGAGTTGGTGTACTCAACACCGTCTGCATTCTCGTCGGTGATGGGAACCTGGATCTCAGAGTTCTCGTAGATGGCGGCGGTGATTGTCCAGCAGATGAAGGACGCAACCATACCGCAAGTCGAGATCAGGAAAAGAGGACGGCGACCGAACTTGTCGACGCAGAAGGCGGCAGCAATGGAAGATCCGAGATCGAGAATGGTTTTTCCAGCGGTCAGCTACGGTAGAATGTCAGCATGTAGTTTCAGCGAGGTATTGTCTCAGGTTTAACTTACAGCAAGCTTCTTGTTCTGCTCCTTGATACCGGCACCGACGAGGATGATGTTCATGTAGTTTGACAGGACGGCATTACCAGAGTACTGGGAGATAATACCAAGGGACACGATGATACCAAGACGCCACAGGTTGCCCCTGGTCTTGACGAAATCAGTGTAGCCGGTCTTGGTTCCACCGGCACGATCGCGCTCGATGACCTCCTTGATCTCGCGGTACTGGAACTGGACGGTTGCGTTGTTCGCATCACCTCCACCGTGGTGCTTGGCGAGAACCTGCAGGGCTTCCTCGGACCTGTCCTTGTTGACAAGGAATCGGGGCGACTCGGGGATCCACCAGATTCCGACGAGCTGCATCAACGAGGGCACGCACTGGATAAAGGTGATGGACCTCCAGGACCAGTCGCCGTTGATGGAGGCGGTGCCCCAGCCAACGCAGGACACGACTGTCAAAGGAAGATGTGTTAGCACAATATGACGCGCACTCCAGGGGCATGATCACTTACCCAAGGATCCCAGGTTCCAGAGACAGTTGTAGACAGTGGTCAGAGGCGCACGGTGCTGGGGGTGGCAAATCTCAGTGAGCAAAAGGGGAGAACACATTTGGGAGAATGAGTTTCCGAAACCGAGAACAAATCGGCCGCCCATGTACACTAGATTTGAGACCGTCAGTCTTTGAACGATATAAGCTTGAACTCATTGTGAAAACAAACTTACTGCCATAGCCATTTGCGAAGGCCGTGATCATGGCACCAACGGTCATGAGGAATGCGCCTAGCATAATAATGGGGCGACGGCCAAATCGATCGGCAAGATAGGGCGTGATGAAGAAGGAAATGATGGAACCAATATTGTACATATTGATCATGATACCCAGCTTGTTGGCGTCCGTGTTCTCGGGGAAATACGCCGCCCAGTAGTCCATCTGCTGAGATGTATTGAGAAGCATTCCATCGTAGCCAGTGGTAGCAGAACCGACAAGAAGGAAGATGGACAGGAAGTACAGCTTTCGCAGATGGGGCTCCTTGTACCAAGTGACCCTCTCGAATCGAGGGGCGTCCCTATCGACGGTGCCCTCGGGCTTCTTGGTGGCCAGTGTGACCATGACGGGCAGCGAACACAATCGACTGCAGATTTCAACAAAGTAGAAAAAACTTAAGGTGTCGAGCTGGAGATTGAGGCCGTCAGTGGCTTTGGAGGTTACTGGTGCAAGCTACACAAGATTGGCACTGGGGTGAGAAGATGCGAGGGAACTCGAAACATCATGGGGAAAGAGAGTTTTATAAAAGTTTCCTAGCAGATGGTTCCCTTGGACGAAAGGAGAAAGCGACAAGTTCCCTCTGCGTTCTAACACCTGAGGAGACCGGGATCAGGGACCGCCAAGTTGACGGTGCCCTACCTAGTGGCGGAAAGGCGGGAGAGAAAAAAATCTCTGGACCCGAGTTGCCCATGTGCCTTCTCCGGCGTCAAGCTGGTAATGGAGGGTCTCGTATGCGTCCATCTTCTGTTCTCCGGGGCATGTGGACGCAGGGGGTCTGGCGGAGACCATCTCCCCAGGCCCCAGACCAGGTGAGACCACAACCGTTCTAGGTCCATGCGCGACAAGGGGCTATCCAAACAAGGCATATTGCTGGGGGTGTGGAGGGGGATTAAGGGAGGTTGCAATGGACGAGAGAAAACGGCTAGGCTCAGCACACGCTCGCTGGCTCGCTTGCTGGTCTGGCTGTTGCTACAGCCTGAAGGAGGGCTCCTGGCTAACGGATGGCTAATTGCTGGCGCCCCTGGTGTAAGAGGATTGGTACATCAGATCATCGTACAAAGGTCACCAATGGAGATGATGGCCAAAGTTGGCATCCATGATGCCGGGATGGACGCGCCACCAGATTGGCGCCCAAGCGAAGGCGGCAACAGTTTGCCAGCTCCGGTCCGTCGGCTCTGGTCGTAGGACTTCTGGACTGCTGGCTGTCAATAAACACAGCTACCATGCATCAGTTTACGAAGACAGCCTAGTCCCAGGGATTCAATCCAGCTTTGGTTGCTTGGGTCATTGTCAATGGGCTGGCCAGCATCAGATCGGTCAATATGCTGAAAACCTGGCCTACCTAGTGACCAAGAAGTCGAAATGTGAAGTGACTTTTTGCGGATAGTGGCGAGAGACCTCGGCCAAGAACGGACTCATTTGACCCAGATGGAATACTACAGATCTCCATTCAGTAGAACGCGCGATTGGCTGCCCGCCGTCCAAAACTCCCAAGTCAACCTGGGTAATTGAAGGGCACTTACAGAGCCAATCACTGAAACGGGTGGTAAGATCACAGGGTTGCGAGCTATCCCAAATCCAGCAAAGTATAGCAACCTGGCACATGGAATTCCCCAGCCTGAATTCTGGCGATTGATCCGCCCAGTGGGGGCTTCAGGCTATCCCTCGACAGCCTTGATCATCATCATCGAACAGAGTAGGGCGGCGGATACATGGTTAGTTAGATCACGCGAGAGGGGCCAGTAGGTGCAGATGGAGTGTTCGACACTCGTCTCAACAAGCTCACCTAGGCCGGGGACTGTCTCCATGTGACGCCTGACCCCGGTATAAGTTTATTAGGTATTATTAACGGGCAAGGTAGGCCTGGTGTGAAGGGATGCGGATCGGTTTCTTCAACAGGGAGACGGATTGTCCCGATTGCCTTACCGTAACGGTCAGCAATTACTTCAAATTTTTAACATTCAACGTGGGAGATGAAGGTGGGTGGCCAACTCTGCTCAGCTTGGCCCTTACCCCGGCCCAGGAAGAGCACCCTGGCTTCGAAGGTCACGGCTTCTGGTGTGTCGGCTACGAGGGCCGACAATGCAGACTTCGAATGAGCTTACTTCAGGTCCGGGGCGGGAGGCTTGGGGGAGGGCCGAAAACCTGGGGCAACCGCTCGCTCGCAGTATTCAGGTCAATTCCTCGAGGGGAAGAGAGCGCCATTGCGATGAAGGCCAGCCCTTCCTCCAGGCCCATCTCACAAGCCTGGATATCCAACGCTTGATCGATCCACGGGTAAGTGTGGTTTCGAGATCTCCACGACTGTGCCTGTTTCATGCCAGACTAGATGTAACCGGTGCTTTTTGCCTAAAACCACCAGAGCGCATGGCCGTCGCACGTAGACGGGCAAATAGGCATCAGGCGGATAAAGGGCAATACCGGTGCCGCCTGCAAAACACCACGTCTCCACACGGCGATGCGTCGAGACCAAGCGTGCCCGTCTTGCCCGTCTTGCCCGTCTCTCTCTCTCTCTCCACAGCCTGCATGATCCTCCTAAACGAGTCGCGCCCGTGCCAGGCAGGCTCGCGTGGCATCCTTCTCCCGTCGTCGCATCCGAGCCGAGATGCAAATCAATAAAGGCCCCTCAGCACAACAATATCGGCACGCCGTCCGTGGCTTGGCAGGCAGCCAAGTGAGCCAGTGCTGATGCCAGAATGCGGCATTCGATCTGCCACCCTCCCGATCCCTATGTGTCGATTGATTGGGGGTGGACCTGGCCCGGTGCATTTGGCGTTTGGGGGCTGGGGGCTGGGGCGAGGCGACGGCATTTCGGGAACGTCTCCGGCGGTGGCTCCCAAATCGCAGCTCGTCGTGAGCTTCTCGCCTGCCAGCCATCACCAGAGCAGGAGAGAATTTTCTGTCCTGTTTTTCTTTGTCACAGTTTCTGCTTGGCTTGGCTCGACTATGAGGCGTAGAGGGAAGAAACACCTGTTCGGTGAGCGGGCTTGGTTCTGTGTTCAATTCTTGGGCAAGTGCAGGCAGGTACGTACACGCACATGCACCTTCCCTTCTGCCTCCATCCTGATGCTACGCTCTGCTGCTCGCTCGTCCAAGCCATCACATCACGCAGCTACTGGCATTACCTAGGCATGGATATTCTCCTTGCGAAAGCTTCGTATCTTTTCAATCAATTGAGTTCTATCTATCAATTACCTGGCCAACAGGCTCCAATTGCTGAGTTTGTAAAACTCCAAGTTTGATCATCAAATCCATCCATCCATTCCAACATGGTCCTAGACGAGGACACTATTACGAGGCCATAGTAAGCAATAAGCATGGCGAAACAAGGAAAGCAAATGCCAGAAGGCAAACCCCGAACCAGACCTAGCCAACGAGTCCTGCTCATAATATGACACTTTCGGTTCAGCGACGCGGAAAGGACGAAGCCTACAGCTCGGATATCCCGCAACATCCTGGGGGAAATGGGTAGCAGCGCTCGGAAAAAGCAAACCACAACTACCAACCTGTCGCCTACACTCCAACCTCGGTCATTGCAACATCTTCCTCCAAACCCAACTCTTCGATAGTCACGGGGGAATCGAATATTTCATCGTCCCCACCCGTGTTGAGCGAATGGATACTGGCGAGGGCTTTCAAAAACTTGTCCTTTTCCCGCTTGAGCATCTCCCGCTTTGACGCGACGTCGGGATGCTCTTCCAGTAGCCGCTCATATACTTCCCTACCCGCCCCTGGGAGAACGCCGAGCCGCTGGTTCAAATGGAAGGACAACTTGTCATTGATTTCCGGTATCATGCGGCAAATGATGCGTTGAGACACTGAATCTGCGAAGCGCAAGGCGGCCAGTTTGTAATAACCTCTAATATATGCAATAACCTTGACCTCACGCTCAAAAACGTCGGGGCCGATTTTCTGCAGGTCGTCTTCACGACGTTTCGCGTCCTCCCGTCTCTTGGCCTCCGACATGGCCTCCCAGTCATCGAGAGGCTTGGTCACACCGTAGCCTTTTCCTTCAAGGCGCATCTTGTGTCTGAAGCGCGTGAGTAGGATGTGCTCGTCGTCGCGATACTTGGCCAAAGCCTCGTTGTTGAAGGTGAGGAGCCTTTGAGTCTCATCCAAGTAGATGAGCTCTGTGGCCTGTCGCGTTTCGAGGCTTTGCAGTTTCAAAAAATCGTCCAAATGCTTGTTGGCCTCCTTGTACACGATTCTCTTCTTGAGGCCGGCAAAGGTCTCGGCCAGGACTTTGGCGAGCTCCCCATGTATCTGGCGCATCGTCTCCTCCAGAAAGACCCTCATCGGGCCATCCCAAGGTTTGATCGCCTCAAGTGCCAAATCTTCATAGATTTCGCCAGGGAGAATATCGGGCATTCCTGCTTTAGTCTTGCTCTCAATCTCCTCGCTAACCTGTCTCAAGGTGCGGAATCCACGGCCAACAGTGATGAATTGACTAAACGGGGCCGGAATTGCTGGCTGCTTGGGCCTCGTAGGCGTGGGGGTATCGCGCCCGCTATCCTCCGTCTTCGATGGGAAAACGATACCGGCATTGCCATTCGTATGGGGAGTAGCTCCTCGGTGTCGTTTTGCCGGCGTAGTAGGAGGGCCCATATGAGGGCGTTTTCCTGACCGGGATGGTGTATTCACAGTGGGTGCGTCTTCACCATCCGAAGACCCATCGGAAATCTCTAAAACTGGGATATCGCTCCGATCCTTCAGGATGAATTTAGGTTTGATTTCCAACAAGCACTGCCGAAAATTGCTGGGCAGCGTGTTGAAGTGTTTTGTGAACTCGTTGATCCGGACGCGGGCGGTCTCAGTGAACTTGAGAAGACTTCGTTGAACCTCAAGCTCTACATTGTCAGGAAGCTCTGGGAGCCTCGCCAGTTGACGATTGATTTTTTCCAAGTTGATCCTGACTTTGTGGTCGATCTGGGGGAGACTAAATGCCGAGTTAGTTGGAATACCTACTTGCTTGCCTTTTATCGTGAAACGTACCTTTTGATGAACTCCTCGCCCAATTTGTTCGAGAGAAATTCTTTCAGGTTCTCAACCCCACACCGCTTGGAAAATGGATGAAACGAAGCGGGCCACTGCTCGACGGTGTGGTTCTCGAACAGCGCTTCTTCCCATTTCGTCAATTCTTCCAGGTCCTTGCCTTGCGGGCGAGAGGTTATGAAGTAGCCAAGACCTGTGCGGTGTGCGTGGCCTTGCATTATCGACAGCCACTGATCATGATTACCTTCTTGGGGTAACAGATCAGCCTTTGTCAGTACGCCGATGGTGCGATTTGTAGCTCCGAGTTTTCGGGTAAGGCCAAAGGTAAATGAATTCTCAGCATCTGAATTCATAGGCATGGAGCACATAATGATGGCGGAAGGCTTCTCAATGTAAGTGCTGGACAGATTGCGAACGACGTTCACGAGGTAGTCATCCTTGGCGTCTGCTGGATTTTGGAAAATTCCGGGCATGTCATAAAAGGAAAGATTAGGGAGCTCGGGGCCCTTGATCTCTAAGGAGACGACGTTGGGCGAAAACTTGGCGGATGTCTCTTCCGCCGCTGAGTGAATCGACGTGTTCATGGCGATCGCACCAGACCCGGGCACGTATGTCTGGGGGGGCTTGTCATCATTGAGGATGGCGACTTGCGCCCATCGGAGAACATCTTCAATATCATTCTTGTCGTGGACAGTCTTGAACTCCTGAACATGTGTGGCAGGGAGCTTCTGCCAAGGAAAGAATGGATCTTCTTCAGTAACATCGCTCTCCGTAATTTCACGGTCAGGAGGAGGTGCAAATTCATATTCCTTTGAGAGGGAGACACGGCAAGACCAGTCGCTGTTCCTGGAAACACGAATGTGCAGTGGGCATCTAGTGCAGGTGCCCTCGCTCCTGGGGAGATCCAGGTTGGCAAGGCCAGACATGACACTGGACTTGCCTGCGCTCTGGTCGCCAACAAGAACCAACTCGGGAAGTGGAACATCGTGGGACACACCGAGCCCTTGAAGTTCACCAAGAGTGTCGTTGCAGGCTTTTAGACGCTTGCCGATGTCCTGAAACGATGTGTGGAAACTAAAACTCTCATCGTTGGTGATGGGGCTGAGCACTGTGACTGGATTCTGCCGGACCCTCATCTCTCTAAGAAGTGGTTCAGCTTCGGCAGTTTGCTCGCTAGGGGGCGCTAGGTCAAATCATAGACAGTTAGATATTTGAGGAAATAAACAAAGAAGACCCGGGGATTAGGAACTTACGAGCATCCGAACGCCTCTGATCCCGATGGTAGAAAGAGCGGTTGGCATCCATGGCGTTCGTAGCTTGGGTCTGCTCGGTGACGACGGACGCACCAGATCGCCCGCCCGAGCTCTCAATCTTGATGTGGGATGCCGCACGGCGAGATGGCGGCGCCATCGTGCCAAGCTGCAGAAATCACGAGCTGTGCAAGGCGGTGGAGGTGGAACGGTTGAAAGAAGCGCGATGCGTTTGATGAGAGACGGAAGTAGATTAGATGAAGGTGGTTGAGATGGAAGAAGAGTTCAAGTTGAAGTTGGGGTATCAAGAAAAGAAGAGAAGAGAAGGAAGACGACAGGGCAAACAATGAAAAAGAAAGAAAGGCAGGCATGCAGTCGCGATGCTCGCTTGCTGAGGCAAAAGCAGCCGAAAAGGTGAGAGGTGTGTGATGGTGAGGTGAAAGCAGGCTGAGATGAGAGCTCGCCTCTGGGCCGAGCAAGCCTGGCAAGCAGCCTCAATTGAAACTCCTGCCGGTGATCATATGCGATAGTGCCTTTAAAATCAGGCGCACATCCAGGCACACGCAGGCCTTATCAGCTCCTGAAGAATACAGAACTCCGCGCTGGAGAAGGCTGCGTGTTTGCCGGTGTGGCCAGATAGAGCATGCAGGTAGTCGTGGTGGGTTGTACAGCCATGCGTCTGAACGCTGGTTAACAGAAATTAATGCCGTGGGGAGAAGCAACACCTGGGATGAGGCTGCACACGTTGGCAGGGGAAAATGCAGGTGGCTGGTTGGGAGACCCCTGCCCAGGCCGTGTGCTCGATCAGGCAACAAGAGCTTGTGCACCCTGACTGTTTACCAAGACCCTGATTGCCAGCTCCATAGCAACCATCATTTCACAGGCTCTGGCGGGAAAATGGATGTAGGGTAGCGACTCGGTCCCGTCCAGTGTCTACAATGAGTGGCAATGGCAAAACTACACAAACTCTACTCAGTTCATATGCGCATCCAAAGGCTGAATTGGACTCGCCCTTAAAACTCAACACCACGCCCAACATGGAGACTTTCGATCCTCATTCTGCTTCTCCTTCGGCTTAGAGCGTCGAAGGTTCAGCTTCCATGATGCGAACTGCCTCTGGATCGACCGCTGCTACCTCGGTCGGAAGCGAAAGTAAACATGACTCCATCACCGCCTTGTGTGCTTTAGGTATGCTTTATACCCAACTGGCCCTCACATCAAATCTGGGGTATTTTCCTAACCGCCAATAGACATTCCTACAGTCAAGATAGGATCTCAAGAGGATCCCTTCATCGTCATCAACAACATTCAACAAAGAGCTTCTCTTACTAAACTCACTGGAATGACGCTCGAAAAGTTTACCCAATGGGATGAGTCACCATCGAGACGTGGCCGGCTGTTTTTTTACAGTGCTGAGCACGAGGTACTCATTATTAAACTTCCTCTATCTGAGATACATGAATACCTCCATCGGACTCTTGATAAAGAGATCACCCGCCAAATGAGTGAAGATCTTTATGGGGAGATTTCTGCATATGGGTCAGCAACATACTATATGAGGAAAAGCGGAATGGTAACTGCTGCTGGGGAGGGAGACTCAAGCCTTGGGTTGAAAGATAGGAGAAAGAATGATCGCTGGCCTACCGTCGTCATAGAAGCGGGCTGGTCGCAGAGCAGAGCTGCCTTAGTTGCTAAGGCACATTGGTGGTTTGAAGCTTCCAACCGGGCAGTCAAGATTGTACTTTTGATCATTGCATCCCCGCTGCAGATCCAAGTTGAGAAGTGGAAGACCAATCCTTTGCCACACAGCTCCGCAGTAGCACCAAATCGACCTAACACCCGGCTCTTCCAGAGACAAGCGACTAACCTATACCCGAAAGTCCATCCGCCTGTTCTGACAGTCAACCGAGCCTCAGCTAACACCCCTTCCAACGACTACAGGGTGACTAGTAGTCCCTTGCGGCTGGAGTTCCGTGATGTATTTCTCCGGGACCCAGTGCCACCTGAAGGAGATGTCTTGCTGGAGGAGAGGTTCTTTCGGAGCTACGCGGAAGAAGCTTGGGAGAATGTTCTAGATCAGTAGAGACAATCGAGTATCGAGTTTAAGTCTAATAGGCTCAGTCGGATTATGCAGACGGGTGGTCCTATCTAATGATCGAGTCGGCTGCCACTGTAGCAGAGGGAGTGGGAAATACTGGTATATAATTGGCAGACCTGATTTTCATCCCGATGCTGAAGACAATTAATTATTCTACGATGTTTAGCTTGATATGGTGTTTAATACTAGGTTGATTATGTTGATACTGTGTTGAAATTCAATGCTGGAGGTTCTGGGTGTGCCATTTTTCTGCCATTCCGTCTGCTCTGCCCCGCTATGCAAGAGAGTACATCGGTCACCGTAATTGTGAATTCACTGAAGGTAGCTCAGCTCCACCGCCTCCGACCCCGCCAACCTCCTTTATCTCTTACGTATCATCATTCGCCCTCATTCCCTTGGTTGGCAACACCAGATTCTCCGTTTGGTGAAGCAGCACCTCCCTACTCTCCTCTCCCCCCATCCCATCTTCTCAACCGCCCACACACCATCCCCCCCAAAGCACTCATGTCGCTCCAGGTTCCCCATCGCCCCAAGGAGGGCTCAACCAAGGCCGTCATCCTGGTAAGCTCACCGCGACTCTCCCTCCGCGGCCACCTCCCAATTCCCAAGCTCCAGCTCGAGAAACACCACCGTTCAAGCCCAGAAAAACCAATTCTAACATGCCGTCTTCCCTCTAGGTCGGTGGTCCCTCCCGCGGCACTCGCTTCCGACCCCTCTCCCTCGATGTCCCCAAGCCCCTCTTCGAGGTCGCCGGCCACCCCATCATCTGGCACTGCATCTCTGCCATTGCCGCCGTGGGCTCCATCCACGACGTCTACATCATCGGATACTACGACGAGTCAGTCTTCCGCGACTTCATCAAGGACGCCTCTAAGGAATTCCCTGTCCTGAGCTCTATCAAGTACCTCCGAGAGTACGAGGCCCTGGGCACCGCCGGCGGCCTCTACCACTTCCGCGATGCCATCCTCAAGGGCCGCCCCGAGCGCCTCTTCGTCCTCAACGCTGACGTCTGCTGCTCGTTCCCCCTGGCCGACATGCTCAAGCTCGCCCAGGACAAGGACGCCGAGGCCGTCATCCTCGGCACCCGCGTCTCCGACGAGGCCGCCACCAACTTCGGCTGCATCGTCTCCGACGCCCACACCAAGCGAGTCCTCCACTACGTCGAGAAGCCCGAGTCGCGCATCAGCAACCTCATCAACTGCGGCGTCTACCTCTTCTCCACCGAGGCCATCTTCCCCTCCATCCGCTCCGCCATGAAGCGCCGCCTCGACCGCCCCGCCCGCCTCCTCTCCTACCCCTCCTCCGACAACCTCGAGACCAGCTACCTCCACGCCCAGGCCGCCGACGACGACGACGATGACGAGGAGGGCCGCAAGACCGAGGTCATCCGCCTCGAGCAGGACATCCTCGGCGACATGGCCGACAGCAAGCAGTTCTTCGTCTACGAGACCAAGGACTTCTGGCGCCAGATCAAGACGGCCGGCTCCGCCGTCCCCGCCAACGCCCTATACCTCCAGCGCGCCCTCCAGTCCGGCAGCGAGGAGCTCGCCCAGCCCAGCGCCAACATCGTCTCCCCCGTCTTCATCCACCCCACCGCCGACATCCACCCCACCGCCAAGCTCGGCCCCAACGTGAGTATAGGCCCCCGCGCCGTCGTGGGCGCCGGCGCCCGCATCAAGGAGTCCATCGTCCTCGAGGACACCGAGGTCAAGCACGACTCCTGCGTCCTCTACTCCATCATCGGCTGGGGCAGCCGCGTCGGCGCCTGGGCCCGCGTCGAGGGCACCCCCATCCCCGTCACCACCCACTCCACCAGCATCATCAAGAACGGCGTCAAGGTCCAGAGCATCACCATCCTCGGCAAGGACTGCGGCGTCGGCGACGAGGTCCGCGTCCAGAACTGCGTCTGCCTGCCTTACAAGGAGCTGAAGAGGGTACATCTCAACCCCCCCAATCATCTGCTTTCTGCCCATACTGACATCTATATCCCAGGACGTGGCCAACGAAGTCATCATGTAAGCGGGAGTCTTATATGGAAAATATTTAAATTCCCCCACCCCAACAAACCCCAAAATCCAATCCTCACAAGGATGTCTGCAAGTCCTACGTACGAGAATGAAGTCAATGGAGACATGCTCTATCGAAAAAAATACCCCCTTTATATCCCAAAAAACTTCCCTTTCCCATAACCAAAAATCTCACTTAGCTGGGCATTATTATGCCCATGATCATGACCGCCTCTCGCTTATAATAGACCAAACAAGCGAACCCCCAACATGAAGACGCTTTGTTTTCATACTTCTCGGGGTGTGAAGACAGACCAATGACAGAAATAAAATTTTCAATGAGAGGAAATCCTTTTTAAAAACCGTTTCGTCTAGATTCCATTTATAATGCTACACATTAGAAAGAATCTACCTAGATCTCTTCTTAATTTTCTACTTCTTCCGCCCAACTCCGAAACCCGAACCTGAGTCTCGTTCGTGTCGTGCTCCCATGCTTCCACCGCTCGGCCGTCTCAAATCATCAACTCATCTCGTTCAATCCAGTATGCATGATGAATATGCCCTGTATGCCACCTCCGACAAGCCGCCAATGCCCTACTTGTCCAATTTCCCCCCTCCTGGTATAATATGTGTCCCTTCAAAAGACACAAATAGAAAAAAAGAACGCCGCTAGTGATCTCGTGGGTGTCCCAAAAAATGCAGGCTATGAATGGTTTAACGAAAGAAGAAAGCCCCATTAAGACAAACAAGAACGATAATGGTCGTGAAGAGCCCTGATCCAGCGCTGCTGGGGCATCTCGAACGCAGAAAAAACCCAAGTCGCCTCCATGTGATTCCCTGAATGCTAAAAAGCCCCAATTAACGAAGGGATGAAGATGTAAGAAAAGCAATAATCCTGAAAAGAGTCCCGACCTTCGTCTAGTCATAAGAGACAAAATAGGAATCTAAGTTTTGGCCTCCCAGATGAGGTCAACATGAATGTGATAGTTGCTGTCGATGAACCATCGAGCTCAACCTCTAAATCGCTTAAAGGGTGATGCAAGGGAGTATAAAAAAATGTAATAAAAAAGCGAATGGAAGTGGGTATCATGAGACAAAGAGAGATAAAGAACAAAACGATAGTCTGATGCACGTGGGATTTCGATCCTATTCATCCCTCTTGAAATTTAATTTGCTTGCCGTCCGGGGCAGCATGGGGCTAGCAGGTCGGCTGGACGTGAGTCCCAGACCCTTGGTCTCCAAGGGGTCAAGCAGGCTGAGCCTGCTGTGATCTTGGCGAGGCGTGGCAGATAACCGAGGAGTCATAACTGGAGTAATGGCTGTCTTCTCAAAGCTGGCGATTCGGATGGGTGGTGGGCGGCGCTGGCCGGGCATCTTGCGATCATTAGGCAGGCTGTAAATGTATGTGGAAAGGAGGACAAGGCCCGTGCCAATAAGGAACTGAAACCCCGGTTGTGAGTAAAGCTTCAGTCGACGAGCGGGGGTGAGACTTACAGTCCAGGTGACAGCGAAATCAAAAATCATCACGCTTGCCAAGAAGCTGATGACAATGCTGATGCTTGTGGCGAAGTTCTTGACAATGTTGTCCGCATCCCTGATGACCATGCTGGCAACCAACCCTCCGACTGCTTGCAGTCCAATTGCCGTCCAGACGACCCAGTTATACCCTTCGAAAAATCCATGCTCGCGGATCCCCTCACCGTCCTGCCAAAACACACCGCCAAACAGGGATGCAACGAGAGAGTAGAGACTCAGCTGGATGTTGCGCACCCACACACTGGCTTGGGTAGGGCTCTCCTTGAGCAGCTTCTCGAAATATACACCTGTGAACCCAGAGACAGCCGCGGCGATGAGCACACTGGTTACGCCAAGCGAGTAGTTCATGAGGGGCTCTGGGGGTGCCAGGTCCTCTGTGATACCCTCGTACGTTGCAGACCGCTTCGTGCGAAGAGACCTACCCTTGCGTTCCTGGCCTTCCTCCGCATCCGTAGCCTTGGTCTCAATCACAGGAGCTCTGGTTTGCCTGGCATTGGTGCGAGTGACCTCAGTTGCCCGCTTCTTTTGCTCGGCCAATTCCTCCTCCTCGCGTTTGGCAATGATCTCGGCGAGCCAATTCCCTTCCAGATCCTCATCTTCGAAAGCACTTGTGTCACGTTTTGAAAGATACTGGGGTGACTGTGGCTGATACAGCTCGGGACTCGCTTGACCCAGCTCGTGCAAAGAACGGGGAAAGAAATGGTCAGTTGTGTCGTGGAGGAAGAGCGAGGGCACGGATGAGTTCGGAGGCAAAGACACGACGCAGACTCCGAGCGTAAGGATGATTAGAGCTCCCCAATGCTTGAGTCCGAGTGACCGGCGTAGCAAGATGACGCTGAAAAGAGCGGTGGTGAGGATCTTGAGCTGGTAGAGAACCTGGAATTGAACGGCGTCCAAGTTCCCGATTGCGACGTATTGCAGCAGGTTTTGGAAGGTATATAGCGCGGCAGGCACAGCGAGTTTCCACCCGTCGCCGTTAAACACCGAATTGTAGATCTGCTCGAAGAGGACTGTGGCTGGTGTGCTGGGAGCCAAGGTCTTGGATGTCTCGTACATGGCGAGGGTTAGAGAAATGGAGAGCTTGATGAGCTCGTTGAGGAACACGGCTGTTGATGTAAAGTAGCGATGGTCGCCGTTCGGGGGCATGATTCGCGAGTAGTGCATGACCTATCTCCAGTATTAGCCACCGGTTCAACCTCAGACAACAGAAAACCCTCTCAATGGTGGGCTTTCTGGAGAGCTTGTCCCACATACCAGCATAAGAGCGGAATTTTGAAATGTCAGCTGCAAAAAAAGGCAGACGGCGCAAGTTAGCCACAAGATACGATACGGCCCGGTGCGCGGGGAAGATGTGCGATCGCACTCACAGTGATCAAGGACAGCATTTTGGAGGTGCCTCCCTTTGGGGAAGCGTTCGCCGGTAAAGCCCCCATATCGTCGTGTGGTGTCGCTCACCGGTGCAAGCGCAGAGCGAACGGGTCGCACAGGAAACCGAACAAGGAGCCGAGGCTGAAGGGTCGCTCTCAGGGGAAAACGGTGGGCGACGGCAAGGCGGGAAGGGCGCTGCGCCAATGCAAAACTCGGTCGGAAGCACCGCGCAAATAGTTCCGGTCGTCGGGTTCGCTTGTCGCAGTCGTCTCTGGATAGGCGGTTTCGTCGCAGACCTGATCGTTGAGTATCGCTCCCCTGGTCGCGTTGCAGAGGTTATGAATTGAGATTGGATAGATAGGTACAGGAAGGTAGTCGTCGGCGTGGTCACCAATTAATCCCCAGGCCCCCTTTAGATCCCAGACAGGTTGAAGTTGCAGTTGCAGCCCCGTTGGAAGCTGGTCCGAGATCCAAGACAAGACGAGACTTTTCGCCACCGCCAATTGAAGCTGCTCCGGCCCCCAGGAAGGCCCGGAACTTTCGTAGGCTGCTGCGTCGAGTTAGAGAGAGCCAGCACGTGGTGCGCTGGGCTGAGCCGGAGGAATAGTGTAAGGAGCGGAAAGAAAGGAATGACAAGAGTAAAGGGTGAGGAAAGGAGAAGGGGAGCAGGAGGAAGCGGTTGTAGCCAGAGCAGATAATGGGAGATGGGGTCTGTGTGTAGGCAGGTGGGAGTCTGTGCGAGAGGGGATGGATCAGTTTAAGGACGATGGATGAGGATGATGACGGCGACAACCAGCAAGGCCAGGCCAGGCCAGGCAAGGAAAGGCATGCAAGAAAAAGCTGCACTTCGGGGTGGAGATCAATCGGCCTGCTCTTGCGCTGCAACTGCTTTGTAGTGCTACCAGAATTAGTAGCTAGGCCCAGTAGGTAAGGTAGGTAGCGAGTCCCTAGGCCCCCCTTCCAGGCCCCAAAGGACCATGGCGCGCGGCAGGTCGACACCAACAGGCAAGCAAACATGGAGGCCAGCACGTCCGGGCATTGCTCCATGAGCCAATCGACGCTGCGTCTGGCCCGGGCAGGGGGGCTGGCACTTGTCTGGGATGCAGCAAAGGCAAAAAAGGCACTTGCACTGGGGCTTGGGTGGCGTGCAAGTGGATGCGGCCTGCGTGGATGGGCCTAGCGCTGGTGGGGACGGTGAATTAGAGCCTACGAACCAGACGTTGAGGTGAGGTGCTGTCCGCCAAGCCTACATCAATAGCCCTTGGGGAGCTGCCGCCGTGCGAGGTACCAGTTGAACCTGCCTGCTCCCACCAAGTTCAGGCGGTGCCCACTGGCAGACGTCCACCGCCCCTGTGAGACTCCCTAAACTCACATATGGAACATTAACCCATCAAGGTGTGGTGGCGGCTGGCTTGCCCTCCTCTGCCAAGTTCTGCGCTTGAATCAGGAATGCACACCTGCATAATACTTTACGCATCCATTGTGCATTTCACCGCCGCCCGTCCACCCGATGGAGATTGAGGAGCTCTCGCCAAGCTGGCTGATACCTCCAAGTCTTCCTGCTACGTATGCGCTATGCCATTGGAGACCTTCTTGGCTTGGCACACAGATCATCGCCGGCATGTCTCTCGCTCTGGTCTGCCAGAGCCAGGCGGCCCATGGCGTTTAGCATTGCGAACCACGTAATCCATTCCTCTGTTTGAGTTTATGGCCCTCTCCCCGGAGTAATTCAAGGCACTTGGGATGGGATGCTATCCTCTGCGCCGGGCTAACCACCCTGATTCGGTCCCCCAGGCCCCCCTGTCGCCAGGCCCTATTTATACTCCGCGGCCGCGAATGTACATTGGGTCGTAGCACAATGGAGGCTCCAATTGACCGTTGGTCCCGACTCCCTCCAGCACAATTGGTCGATCATCTCACCTCCTTGCCAGCTGCCAAGTCCAGCAGTTTTCTCCTAACCCGCCTAATTAGACCGCACGGCCCAAAAAAAGAAACAGGCACGAGAGCAACCAGAAGCAAAGAAGAAGCAGTGAGATCCAATCTCCCACCCAATCTCCATCTATCCCAAAGAGGCCAATCGTTCACGCGAGCTTGCAGGCATCCAAGGAGCTATCGTCCATAGTAGCTATTTCCCCAGGAGCGCGATGTATGATGCCCTCTTTCGCAAACTATTACTCAAGTCCTCAACGTGTCTCCAATCGGGCCACGCCCACCAGCTTTGTCCTAATTTGCCTCCCCCCCGCCTTTTCTCTCCCTCCGCTGCCCAACCCCTTGCTTTTTTCCTTCCCTTCTCCTCCCTTGATTCACTCCGTCCCATCTCCACACGACTGACTCTGTTTGCGCAAGCCCCGGGGCACGCGCGAGGAAGCTTCCGCCCTCTAATTTCAAGCAACTACCGAGCTGCCAGTCCCGAATCGTCCTCACCCGCAAAAGATCTGATTGTCACGAGACATTGCAGCTTTTGTCGAGCAGCATCAGTATCTACGTTTTGTGTTATCCAAGAGAAATTCGCAAAATGTATAAGCGCCCATCCCGTGTATCAAAAACAGCGGACTCAACTAAACTTTCCCTCAAACAATGGCGCATCGCTGGCTTGGCTTCCCCTGCCCCATAGTCGAAACCGCCCATTCTTCCCCTCCAGATCCACCTCCAAGCAACACAGCTACCCTATACATCCACGTCCCCTCATTCAACACCATCAAATCGCAAACAACACCCATCATCGCGGCCCATCGATCACGCGCATCGCTCTCCTCCCACGTGGCACAGTCAATCTACCTCCCATATGCACGTAGACTTCCCCCCTTTGACATCATACACGACCGGAACTGTACAACAAACCCAAAGACACAACCCAATCAGGCACCGACACTTCCCAGTTTTTCCCTATAGAAATGTCGGTGTCCAATTCCGTGCCCTGTTTTCTAACCTAATATCCCTCTCACCATTCGTAGCAGCCTCCTGATCAAACCTGCCCCGTGCCCCCCCTTGTAGAGCTGAATAAAAGCCATGTACCTCACCATGCAACTTATCACATCGTACAGGTAATAGCCAAGAGTCCCAGACGCACGCCCACGTCACGGGTGATTGTGGTGGTCGCACAACGACGCTTGCTTGTCTTCCCACTCCTGGCATAAACAACCTAGTTTTTCTACGGATCCCGGCGATGGCCACCTGATCGCTCTCCCCAACATATCTCGCATGGGGCCTTGCCCTGTGTTCTTGCTTTAATCAGTGCTCCGATTCAATATGCCTTCATGACCCTCAAGTTGGTCTTGGCTGCGCGGAGGAAAAATTCCGTGATTCAATGCCTCAAGTACTTGGATGGCGGCATCATCGTCGTGAAACGAGACACAGTGACGACATCTACTTCGGATTACTTACCTAGTAGCTAGTACGCGAGTGATGGCGTGGTAACATTTTAGTCTCCGTAAGTGGTCTGCGCAAATACGCAGTCATCACATTGCATCATGGCATCTCGCCCGAGAAGCCTGGGTGGGAAAACATGCTCGGCAAATAAATTGCAGCTATGTTGATTCGTCGTAGCAAGTTACTCTTGTGCTAAAACACAGATCCACCGGATGATTCCAAGACGCAAAGTAGTTGTACACAACAACTGGATATAGAAGACCCAAAGATCATATCCCGCACTTGTCCTCTCGTTCACCAACTCCACGTGTGGACTCTGCCGTCTATCCATACATCCTATTCATCCATTCCATCCCTTCCACTCCGAATGAAATGAACGTTAATTTCTAGCAAGCATTCAAAACTTGTAAAATGGCGTAAAATTACGCTCGTCAATCACCGTGTTCCCGCTCTTCAGTCCAGGCACATGTGCCTGTCGGCTCATGTCCTCACAAATCCACATCCAGTGTGAGTGATGTTTCTCCATGCTCAAGGCGACGTGGTAGAGCAGAATGCTGATAACCGGAGCTGGCGTTGGTCCCGGGAACTTTGGCTTGATGCCTCCAGTGACCCTGCGGGAGACCCCCAGATGATATCTTGGGATCACCCTGATGGATCGGAGTTTGCGAACCCGGAAGATTTCACTAGGGTCATCGTCGGGGGTGTCGGTGGGATCGACTTCGCAATGGTTGTTGAGAGAGTGTTGGATGAGGGCTTCATGGCCCTCGCTTTGGAAAAAGGCGATTGATCCGAGTTCGGTTCTCGGGCCAAGGCAATCCACCGCCTTAGTCTGCCCGCCCTCCGCGCACGTCTGTTTCCAGTCAGTATCAAAGTTTACAAGATCTCCACCACCTTCAAGGAATGGAATGCCAAAACCAGAACGTAATACCATAAAGTCGTCAGAATGACTGCCGTCCATGTTACAGGCTACAAGGCCACAGGTGCCAGCAGCGCCGTCGAGTGGAGGAATCTCCATTTCTGCGGGGGACGAGTTGGGTTTGGGTAGGTGGCTGCTTGCATCATCTATCCAGTAGAGTCGGGGTCCTGTCAGCCAGCCATAGCCGATCTCGCGGTCCTGCATGAAGCGGAAGACATCGAATTCAATGTGTTCGGTGAAGAGTGCCTGTTATAATACAACGTAAGCCCAAGGTAGAAGGGAGATTGAGGGTTTCCATTGACATCGGTGTAGGTGTAAGGGGTAAAAGGTGCAAGAAAAGAAAAAGGTGCAAGGCAGAAAAGGGTGTGAAGGAAAAGGGTGTCAAGGGAAAAGGATGTAGGGTGAGAAAGGAAAGCACTCACGCCTGGCTCAACTCGCAAGAACCAGTCATAGTCTCTCATCCTGCCTTGCTTGGCGAGAGAGTCGAGGCTATGGCGGGAAGTGCATCGGTGACAGTGGGCCGGGCTGGCCAGGTCATGCGATTCATTGAGAGTGTGGTTACCGGGGGTGATGGTTTCATAGAAGCAGACGGACGTGGTAGCAGTAGAGACGACCTGACGGAAGTCCTCGCTGAGGGGCTCGGTGCTGAAGAAGACCCAGGGGTACTGGTAGTGGGCATTGAATGACTCTTCGAGCTGACGGACAGACACTTCGAGGTCAGAAAGATCGCTCTCTTCAACAAGAGCTACAATTGCCGCTCGAGGAGATGAATCGGAGTGAGGGGGAGCAGAGTCAAGGGTCTCGGCAGGTGATGGTGGTGATTGCTGCACCGCCCATGTGAGGAGCGGAAGCAGAATCAACGGGATGTGAGCCAGTCTCATGCTGGGGAAAGGCAATGGTGGATTCTGAGTAGAGGGGAAATGTGTCTCTCACGGTCATCAAGAGGCGAGAAAGGAGTGACGCTCAGCTGCCAATAGGTGGAGGAGCGGCTCGAGGCGAGAAGGGCAGCAGCTTAGGTCGGGCGAATTGAAGATATCGCGAAATGCGTCGAGTTGAAGGAACGAAGTTGAAGAAGAGAAGTGAGGTGAAGAGAAGAGGAAGAGGTGGACGACGAACCAGTTCGAAAGTGCACCTATTGATCAAGAATACTGTTGTATTGAAGGAGAGGCGTGGGTGAGGAAGAATCGAAAGTCAGAAGAAGGCGAGAGAGAGGTGAGAGAAGAAGAGGAGCGGGGAAGGGGAGAGAAGGAAAGAGAGGGAGAGCGGGATCGAGGGAATGGGGGCCTGAGGTTCTACAGCAGAGAGGAGCGAACGCGGTGCGCGAGTGCGAGCGCGTGAGGTGGGAGGGCAGTTGCCATCAGCTGCTGCCACCTGCCCGCCGCCGGACCGGTGTGAGGAAGAGACGACAGTGAGTCGCACTGCTGCGAGCCTCTGTGAGTTGGGTGAGGCTGTTCTCTTTACTGGTGCTGGTCTGCCCATCTTCAACTGGGCTGCAGTCTCCAGACGAAGAGCCTCGGAAGTCCGAGGCCCAAACACAGGCACGCAGGCAAACACATTGACTGAGCAGTCACCATCAGCCCGGGACACGAATCTGTGTTCGACGGGCGATGCCCTCGGCGTGCAACAGAAGACACTCAACTATCGAGACAGAGGAGGAGCGTACCCAGGGGAAACAGGCGAGCTCAGTGCACAATGCCTATACGCTCTTACCTCCTCACAGACAATACGTGCCCAGACAGACACTGCAACCAAATCCCAGAGTGATCAGCCAGACTCGAGCCACCAGTAAACAGGCAGCAGCAGCCAGCACTCACCTCTATCTCTACCTGTCTTGACCAAACGTCCAACGGTCCTTGCTTGTGCCAGTGAGCCGTGCAACCTGCCGCGTCCTCGACCAGCGTCACAATGGTTACCCCAACCCGAAGCGTCTCCAAACCTCGAGTGAGGTCAACTAACCCACGTGAGGCTCTTCACGCCGCTCCAATCAGGGACCCCAACAGGGTGCTCACCGGTTGCCTTCCGCGGGGGCCACTCCCAAAGGGAAACCCGGGAAAAGGGCAACCCCGTCCCACACCAGAGGACCGATCGACTGGCTTGGGTTCTTTACTATTGCCGGGGTGTAACGGGGCCAGGACGATACCATCCGGGCACAGCCATCTTGCTGGAGTGACGGGTCTATCGCAGTGTCACTCTCCTATCATCGCTGGCTGATAAACGGGCAGGCAAGAAGGAGCAGTTATACCGGGCCGAGCGACACATCACACAACCTGAGAGGCACGTCCTCGTACCAAAACGCCATTTCCCTGCCAGGCCGTATACGTCATGCACGTGCGAGCCCAACGAGGCAGACCTTGCAGGAAGTAAGGCAAAATCCCCAACCCCCAATCCCCAGCTTCCAAAGGGTTGCAGTTACACCATGCACCCGGGCCACGTGCGCGAAAGATACAAGGGAAGCAAAATGCACTCCAGGCTCCTCTTTGTTCATTGATTGATTGCTCCATGTGTCATCTTATCTGCTCCCTCGGGTCGTAGGCTTAATCCGTAGTTGCACACCCACGCCGACGATTTGCTCCTCCCCATCCTCTAGGATACATGGTCTCCTCCTTGTCACCTTCCCCATCTCATGTCCAAATCACTTATCGAATCTTTTCTTGAAACTTCCCTGTCTAGACTCCATGCCGGAACGCCGGGCGAAGAAAACAAACTCAAAACCTAATGGAAATACAAAAATAAGGTGGGCTAAATCACCAGAAGGATTCAACCGGTTCTTGAAAACAAGGCATTCGTCGTTGCCTGACGAGTAAAAAGAGAGACGGCGGATGATGATGTTACAGTTGCTGTGTGTTGTGGGAATCAACTCTCATCCATGGCTTCGACTTCAAGCTGCTCATCAAGGTTGAGGTCTAGTACGCGGGCGTACTGCAGCGTCAATCGTTGTAATTCCCTATATTTGCCTGCCGAGGGTGTTAGTGCTGCCCGAGACCGGGGGAGATGAACGAGTTCCTGCTCGCTCGAGGAAAAGAAATCTTACCAAGAATCATGATCACTCCCTTCAACAGCTCCTTGCGATCCCATCCACAGATGGCGTCTTCCTTGCTGTACCACCCGCGACCCTCATCGGCGTCACGCTTTCCTTTTTCCTCCTGTAAGATGCCACCCATGAGCGAACTAAGCAGCTCCTCTACCTTGGTTTGCGCCCCTTCGGCGCCTAGGCGCTTGGCGTACATGAACAGGTACAGCCTGAACTCATCGTGTGAGCCAAGCTGCAGTGCTCCCGCAATCCTGTTTTCTAAATGGGCAATGCTGACGCTGCTCTCGAACCCATCTCCTTCCCGCCGTTGGATCACAGTCTTGATGATGCGCTGGAGGGCGTACGCCCGACCCTTGAGCAGGAATTCGTTGGTGGTGTGACGCTCGAGGAAGGGAATGATGCCGGATGACACCGAAGGTGTTGAGGTCTCCTTGTCTTTGGCGGTTGCGCTGTCCTTGGAGACCGGACCGACGGCGGTAGACTGCAGTGCAGAGATGGATGAATCGTTGGAGTTCCAGTACTGTGAACCGACCGCCCACCATGCCTCGCTCAACCTCTGCCACGTGTACATCTCGCGCGAGTAGTAGTAGCCGTCGCCGTTTGTTAATGTGACGATGACGTGACCGGTCGAGTTCAGGTGCGCCGAGGTGACGCCTGGGGCCGGTGTCGCTGTGTGCTGGTTGAGCGACGACGTTGCGATGTCCAGGATCGGAGCGAGAGAGAATGGGGGGCAAGGCGAGGATTGTTGACGGAGATCCCACACGTGGACGAGCCCGACGGCTGTGATACACAGGAGCCAGTGGTCTCGGCTCTCGAGGATGACGGGTTGGGCATCGAGCACCATCGGGTTCAGCAGGCGCCGACCTGCGGGTGTCCAAACGTGGATTGATCCATCCTCACACGCGACTGCCCAGAAATTCTTGTTGGCGGTTACCAAGATGACAGCCCTGGGCAAAAACTCTTGCCAGACCAGAGCTCCTCGCTTGGTGACAAGCACGTGAGACGGGTCTCTCGGGTTTGGGTCATTCTTGGCCTCTAGGATGATGTGCTCAGCCGTCTTAGATGCGTCATCCAATGTAGCTTCACCGCGGAGGATGCCTCGCTCAAGCGGCCTTAGGATGTGTGATCTGATCTTGGGGACTGCCAGGCGCACCTGCGCGAAAGCGATGGAGGGGCTCAGAACAGCTGGCCGAAGGAATTCAGGTGTCGGGACAACTCCGTTTTGGGTGGGCGTCAACGCAGCAGACTCGACGCTGCCATTGGCACCACTCTTGACAATGGGCATCAGTCCGGTCGTCGTTCGTTTCGCGACTGGCTCATCCTCATCCTCATCATCGTCTGCCCCAAACTTGCGCTTGTTCCCTAAAAGCATGGCCGCGATGCCACCCTTGGGTAGTCCATCGAACGGCTTGGAAAGGTCAAGCATAGTTAGGGGAGCATCGTTTTGAGTGGACTTGGATGCCGTTGAACCAACAAGCTGGGTCTGTGGCAGTGAGGATTGCCCTGTCCCTGACGATGAGACGAGCATGGGTGCTACTCGCTTCTTGCCATCTTTGCCGATTGTAACCCGTGCTTTCATCTCCTTTACCCGCTCCTCCGTCTTATCGGTGCTCTCCTTGTTTTCCTCGGCGGCCTTGTCAGCAGGCTTATCGCCAGGCTTTTCTGAATCCGTATCACCGTTTGTAGCAGCTTTATTGGACCCGGCCTTGGAGCCATTGGTGGTGGGGGTCGCGTCTTTACCTGAATCAGGCTGAAAGTCACCCATGAGCGCTCCCATTCGCGACTCCACAGCCTTGGACTCGCCTTCTTTGCTTCGGTTCTCCAGAGCCAGACCCTGAACGTCCTCAGCGATTCCCATGCCCTTCCTTGACACGCCATACTTCTGCAGTGCTCTGTCGTTCTCCTCTGGTTGTGCCACCCAGCCCAGCTCCGCATTCTCAAACTTGACAACGATGATACTGCCATCCAGCGTCGCGGCAAAGATGGTCTGGCCATCAGGAGTCCAAGAAAGATCGGCAATCGCCTTGCCAGCCAGATCCTGCAGGATAACGACGGGCCTAGAAGTATTAGTATTCCAGATGCAGAGCGTTTTGTCCTGTCCGGCAGATGCTATCACCGTCACAAGCTGGCCATTCTCTTCTGCGTCGGGGTCGCTTGGGTTCACAGTGTGAAAGAGTCGCGGCGAGAACATGCAGACCTCGGTGGGGCCCTCGTGGCCGATTAGGTTGATCTCGCTGTCCCAGCGCGTGCGCTCAATGATGGCGACGGAGCTAACCGGGCCATTCACAGCGTTGGATGCTGCGATGTGGTTGCCGTCGGGAGACCAGGAGCAGCGCCTGAAATAGGTCGTGAGAGGGGAGCTCTTGAAGGGAGTCTGGATGGTGTGTTCGTGGACAAAGTTGTCGACCATGTCGGTCGCTGTGGCATTGGGGCCCGGAGACGTGAATCGGAAGATCTTGATGGTGCGGTCATCGCTGGCAGTGGCGAAGAATTTGTTGGCCGGGTCGAAGGTGATGCCCTTGACGTGGCTGCCGTGGGCGGAGATGACCCGCAGCTTTTCGAAGTTGTAGCCTGACCACACGACAATCTTGGAGTCGAGACCGACCGAGACGAGCAGGGAGGAGTCGTGGGACCAGGCGAGATCCTGAACATCGTTGTCGTGTCCAATCAATCGCTTATACGTCTTCCAATTCTCAACGGGCGGGGGCTCGTTGGTCCCGAATATGGTGGGGGGAGGGTTCTTGTCGAGATGGTAGATGCAAATCATTTTGTCGTCGGCGCCACTGGCGAGATAGCGGCCGTTGGGAGACCATCGCACCGAGTGGATGGTGCCCAGGTGGTGGCTCATGTGGGCAAGCTGCCGGGGCTTGTTGTAGTCGGGATCTTCTGCGTTGTAGATGGCCTCGGTGGCCCAGATTCGCACATGGCCATCGCCGCCTGCCGTGGCCAGGCGCTTTCCGTCAGGGGACACATGACAACTGTAAACCTCGAAGTCCTTCTGCTCTCCGCTATGGCTCAGCCATGACGGCTTGATAATTCGCATGGCGACGGCCGCATGGGACGGTCTCGCACGGCTTGAATAATTTCCTCTTCCTGTGGGAAGCTCGCAATGGAAAGCGTAGGAAGCTCGGCTCGATGGGCGGGATGGACTGCTGCGCTGCGATGCGATGGGGAGATGATCCGCAGGACGGGAATTGAATTATGTGGTGGTTTCTTTGCCCAGGCTGAGCGACGCGCTTTTCCCTGGCGCGCTGCTCCTTGTCCACGCTCAGGGTAGGTCTCCACTTTATTAAATGGCACGGCCAGCGCTCCATCGCCAGCCGCTTATCGTAGAAAATCTTAGTGTGCTTAAGTGTGCTGGAGTACCGGATCATCTTTATTCCGGACAATGATGTAACTCCTCCAGTTTCTTGAGTTTAGTAAATGATGCTAACCCAGCGCAAGTTGTATTACAAGCAGGCATATAATTGTACGGAATGAGCGGAGGAATTTTCTCTCATTGAGCCCCCGTGGCTTATATATCTAGTCTTCTATGTTTGCTGACTCAAAAATGCTTCAAGGACATTGCTCGCTAGTGCGTAGGTCTATTCGACCCCGCCATTCATTAATCTTTTTGCGTTCCGGGGATATCTGGTGCTCATAAATCATCCTGGCTAAACAAATCCAGTAACAAAAACGCCGTGCTATGCCGCAAGTTAATCCCAAATCCAAACACCCGAGTCATCCAGATCTCTCGGAGAGAGCGGGAGCATGGGCTACCTCTAAGCGTCCCCAGGCTGCTCATCCACTCGCCGCTCCTCCATCATCCGCCTCTCCTCCTCCTGCATGGCCGTTTTGACCACCAGCGCGTCCAAGTCCAGATCCGCCTCCCAGGCCAGCATCCGGGTCCTCATCGCCCCCTCCACGACCAGCTCCTCGACCAGCCCCCGCACCTTGCCGTCCGCCTCTAGGATGCTCTCGTTGAGCTTGTCCAGCGAGTTCCACCGCACCATGTGCCGCGCCGCCGAGTTCCACGCGCTCGCCGACGCGCACACGCAGTTCATCTCGAACTCGAGCACCCGCCTGTACAGCCGGAGCACCTCGTCGCGCGCCCGCGTGCGCCGCAGCGCCAGCTCGTCCTGCCGTGCGGCGAGGTCCTCGGCGTCGTGCCAGGACGGGCACTGCAGGAGGTAGGTGAGGTGCATGTACCAATGGATGCGGCCGATGACGTGGATCATGCCCTTTCGGAACTCGTCGTGACGTAGAATCGGGTCGATCAGTAACTAGAACAGAGAGAAAACATCATGTCAGCGACTCGGAAGGACACAGAAAACGTAGGTTAGTGTTTCAACGTACAGGAGTGAGAATGGACAGCCCAGACCAGGCCAGGGCGGCAGACGGGTACTCGTCCCAAGCCGTCTCTACGGTGCGCCTGGTGCTGTCGAGCAGAATCTTGGGAATGTCGTCGGCCTGGCTGGGCTTGCTGCCCTTGCGCTTGCTCAGCCCCGCCCTAGTAATGGCACTCATGAGCTCCATGCGGCGGTTGGTATCCCCATCGGGCGGAGACAGGGTGGAGCGGGTGGCCAACTTCAGGTCATCCGACAGCTCCTGGGAGATGATGGCCTCGTAGGTCACGACGAGGCTCTTGGTGCTGGGGTCGAGCCGCAGGGCGTCGTACGCCTCGTCCCATAGCTCGCGCGACAGGTTGATCTCGGCGCTGTGACTGGATGAGGCGGACGAGACGGACTTCTTCTTGGGGACCGGGGCGTACCCGCTGCGGCTGTAGCCAATGGCGGTAGGGGCCTGGTGATGCTGCTTCTGCGGCTTGCTCGGTTTCTGCTGAGGCCTCGGCTTGGAGTGCGGGCTGGGCGTGAGGCGCTTGCACTTGGGGTCGCATTGGCTGTCGTCGCTGTCGACGGTGCCTCGGCGAACAGGGCTGGTGGACGGCTTGCGGGCAGCATAGTCGTTGCTGCTGCTGCTACTGCCGCTGCTGTTGCTGTTGCTGTTATTACTGGAGCTGCGCACCCGACTGACAAGTCGTTTCAAGATGCCTGGGCTGGGCTGGGTGCCGATTTCCACCCTAGTCTCGTCTCGCATGGTTGCTGTCATGTCTTTTCCGGTGCCGTTGGACGGTGAGGATTCGTAGTTGAGAAAGACTAACTAATAGGGACAAAGCTAAAAAGGGCAGGGGAAAAAAATCAAAATCAAAATCGTTATGACGCCCCTCGAAGGGTCCTATGCGATGGAGGGAGTTGCCGGTCCAAGACTCAAGCTCTCAAGCAAGAAGAGGCAGGAAGATCGAGTCCCGCGATAGACGGATGAGCCTTGCTGGGTTTGGGCAGGCTCAATAACTGTCGGCAGGCTGTGTAGTTGGCCAAGGCGCCAGAGGTCAGTAACAGTATAGGGGCTAGGTCCCTAAATGTAGGCGGTCGTAGCAGTAAATTCAGTGAGAGAGCCAAAAGACGGCGTGCTTCAGATCGCTCAGTCGTTACACAGAAAATACCAGGCAAGCAAGAACGGGTAGGAGAAATGACGGGATAGATAGATCCAGGTGCCGGGATAGGCCCCTCTTATTAATGAAAGAAGGTCGGGATTTCTGTTTGTTTGGTTCTGAGTGGGTGCCGGGCTGGCGGTTCAACTGGGCTGTCGACTCTTTGCCAAGCGTGCGTCCTGCCAGGTATGTGTGGATTCGGCGTCCATGGATGTCATTCATTCATTCGGTTGATCGTCTGGAGGTACCTTTTCGCTTTCGGACCGCTATATTACACATCTTACTATGGATGGGTGTCGTTGTGCGACCGACCAGGGTCGACCCCAAGCCAAACATGCGAGGGATGATACTCGGCCTGGTGGGAGGCAATTCAACAATCAAATGTGTCAGGCGGGAGTTGCCGCTGGCTTGTCACCACGACGGTTACCTACATGTGCATTTGCATTCCTACCTGCTCGACTGGACCGGACGTACATAAACGACTTGTCCCGGCCTGTCAGCCTATCCGCCTGGCCTGCCCCAAGTATGTAAGCTGCTTTGGTATCATGTGCGTGTGTTGGGTATGTGGTGGGTGTCTCTGTGTGGGCATATGCCCGCCTATACCCCGAGAAACAATCATTTTACGCCAGTAAAGGACCAGATTCCTGATACTCCCTCCGAGTCCCCCGTCCCGGCCAACTTGATGACCGGCTCGATGGACGGGACCGAGGGACATGCTGTTGTATTGAAGGTACTGGAACACAAACTAGGACTACATGCATGCGGCTGCTCTGGCCTAGACATTTCATGTCCCCGTCTGCATTATCGAGAAACTAGTTGGTTCAGCGCGACCTGGATCGAGACTCGAGTTGCAGCTGCTTTGAGTAGTGTGTTGCATGGATGTTACCCACTAATATCTCACCAGGCTGATCGTGGCTTGGGCCTGGCCCTTTGAGAAACAAACCCAAGACAAGGGAAGAGGGAATAAGTCACTCTCTGTGCGCACATACATGATACCATGGGAAGCACAAGGGGAAAATTGTGAGGACACCCACTCCGTACGCTGCAAACCCATGCGATGTAGCCTGTACCTCGCGATTGTGACCTAAGAGGGCTGGGGCATTCGCCCTGTTTCCGCCCTCTAGATGACAGGAGGCCATTCGCCAATTTCAATTTGGTTGTGACGACGAGCCCAGGCCAAGGAACACTGGCTGGTTGGCTGATCGAAATGCCGGCCCTGGCGGCGATGACTTCATCCCCTTGTCCTCGGCCGGCCACTCTACCTCATAGGCCCGTTTTCTGCTGCCTAGCTCGCGTGTTAGGGTCCGGGGCATCACTAGCCAGGGGTGTCTCTGCTGGATGATGGCATGTGTGCGTCTGTTCGCTCCATTTCCGCTGGATGAGCGGCCCTTTTCCTCACTCACCCCCCCTCCAACTCCAGCACCAGCTCTCTCAACCCATCCCAACTGGCTCCTTGTGTCCGCTGTGCCGCATCCAGAGTGGCTCTCCGACTCTCCCCGCCCGCGACATGGTGGTCGCTCATTTTGAGCCATCTGCCATCCCCGCCGGCTACATACCCGCCATCTCCCGCACACCGGAGAACTCCTCCCTGCCCTGGTCAGGCTGGAGTTGCGGTCCTGGGGTCACATATCGTTTCCTGTCTCTCCAGAAGACATGCCTTGCTGCGTAGGTACATATGTATGGCAGGTCTGTGGCGGACTCGTGACAAATGAAATAAAGACCCCTATCCGTCATCCCGTATTTCCAGCTCCTTCATGGCCAAGCTCTCCGTAGCTTCGTGGCAGCAGCTTGTCTCTCAATTGGATTCGTATTCATGTCTCCCACCCAGGATTCTATTTTTGTGTTCCCCCAAGCTTACCTCGCGTGAGTCAATCGCCCCCAGCTTCCCCCTCACAGGCCGTCGCCAACTCTCCCTTTCCCCTTGCATTCATTTTACGATTCATTCAATCTTGATGTTTGCCCAATCCCAGCTTAAAAAAGCAGAGCAGGGGGAGTGTGTGGCGCCCCGACATGTGACACTCCGACCAGCCGCGCCCTAATCCAGGCTCTAAATAGAATTTTGATGCGTGTTTGTCTCAGGTGTGTTTCCAAGCCGTCCGAGCGTTGCCACATGGCAAGCCATGGAACCAAAACAATCTCTTCCCCAGATTGACGGTCCTGATTCTGCCCGACCGACTTCCCTTTCCTCTCGCTCTTGTGCTCTGGCCATCCTGATAGCATCGTGCGCTGCCATGCCACCCCTGCTTGGCACGCTCCATAGTTTAATTGTCAATCCGGTCCAGGCCTGACCCTGCTGACCTCGGGGGGTTTTGTGAATTGAAGGTAGGGCGCGTTCCCGGCTAGAAGAGGCTTTGATGCCATCAGCCTGGGAAGTGGCCTTGCTTCCCGGGGGTGGCTTTTTGGGACAAGGCACATGAATCGAGAGCATTCCTGCTGCCAGTACGCTGACTTTCGCCCCATTTTGAGACCGTCCGCGTGAGATCCATTCCAGTGCTGCCGCCGCCCGCAGTGGAGAGTTACACCGATGGCAAAGCCAAGATGGATCTGTGGCAACCTCGAGTCTTGTGAACAGGCGCGCAGGGCGAAATGAAATGCAGGATTTCCAAAGGTCTTGAAGTTGGCCGGAGGATTGTCTACGCTGGGGGCTGTCGACGTTGGAGTTTGCCGTGCGCAACGCTCAGTTTCGGATCCCTAAATAAACATCTGCCGCAGCTTCTGCGCCTGCAAGAATGATCCGCCTGGACTCGAGGTATTCTTAAAGTGGCGTAACTGGACAAGCCTGGAAGGACGGCTGGCAAGATGCTTCGTATCGATTTCAGGTTGAAGCATTGTATAGCTCTTTGTGTCGTTGTCAGCCACGTGTTGCCCCTTGCAGAAGGGCGCCTGGCTGACGCCTCATGTTTACGAAATAGGGATCATGGCATGGACCAAGCGTCAATATACACGTGGAGGTGGATTGATAATACTTCTCACCCATTGCTAGCGCAGTCTCGCTGGTTGGAGTGACTGTAGGGAGGGAGGGAGGCCAGGGAGCAACATTCCATCCCATCATCCCAATCATAACATTTTATCAATTAAGGGAACCAGGTGGACTATTCAAACTGAAACCGAGGTGATTCTTTGAATTTAAACAAAGCAAGCTAATAAACGGGCAAACCGAGGTATTCAACTACGGATCTATAACTTCTCCACCTCTGTTTACCCATCGGTCAGAGGATTACTGCACTTGAGCTAGCTACATCCTCTCTGCATGGCATTTCCGAGTTTACAAGACCCCTTGCAGCGCACCTGAAGAAGATATGGGAGGGTGAGGACAAGCACCGCAGAAGTACTGGCTTAATCGAGTTTGTCGTTGGCTAGATGTGGCCGTTTCCCCCGTATCGCAATACTTCTAGGTTCATGGCCGGGCCCAGACGCCTCGGTAGACTGGCCCTGCTCATGAAACACAAAATGGTTGACTAACACCTCCATTGGTTTTGTTCGCTCACAGTGGCCGAAGTCATAGGCATGGTTGCGTTGGTAGTTAGGATCGCCCTGTGAGGGTAAATGTACATGCTTCACCTGCCCATAAGTGCGCAGCATCGGCCGAACAATGAAATCAACAGGCATGCCACTGTATTCATTGTGGGAAGGCATGTGGGCCTCCATGGATGGCCCGGGTTTGAAGACAAACCCATGATTCTTTCCAGTCTCTGGATCATGCATCTCGATCCGGGTATCGTGCGGCGAGGCTACAATGTTGAAGTCGGCTTCGATGGCAAGCTCGACCATCTCAGAGAGGGCATTTTCAAAAGGCTTCGTGTTTGGCTCTGGCTCGTGATCTGACAGGAGATCTGACGATGACACAGAATTCTCATCATGGTAGCGAAAAACCACGACAGGCTTGATGGCCAACATGATGATTCTCTTCAGGCGTTCGGGACATGTGTGTGGGCCTTGGCGCAGGTATATATTACGAGCCAGGTTGTGTCGGTCGGCGTGATAGGCATGTGTCTTCGCGTTGCTCTCGTTTTCCATGTGTCCTAAATAGCCCAACATTGAATTAGCCATGCTCAAGTCTTTGTGCCGGCTGCCCGTGATTGTGGAAGGGAAAAAAGAACATACCGCCTAGAGATTGTCGAGGGCACCCGAAAGCAGCCCATTCCGCACCAGACCATTTGTCCCTGCAGTCCAGAGAGAACAGATTCTCATGGAGTATGTGCCAGATCCAGGCTCCGAAAAGTAACCAACAGCCTCTGTATTCTGGGTCCTCACAAAACTCTGCGGCCCTTGGCGAGATGGCCAGCAGCTGAGCTTTGATGTTTTCATCCAGAAGGTTCCAAATGCATTTGGGCGGGAAGACAAGCTTGACAAAGAACTGGATCTGTGCTGAAAGATCGTCCCATATTTTCAGGTGCAAGTCATGTACTGAAGTAGAGAGAAAAGCTCCATGTGCCCAGCTTTGCATCTCATCTTCAGAGCCGAATGCTTTCAAATGGTCCTTTTTGGTCATTGTTGGAGGAGCACTCTCACCTTCGATGATGCTGGCCCATGATTTGCCTGGGAACGTTTGGTCGGGCACGACTGATGGAGAGGGTGACGCGGCATCGCTGGCACCTGCTGTCGACTGGTCGAGGGTAGAGCCAGAGGAGGCGCTGCGGCCGTCTTTACTCTTCTTGTTTTGAGGCATTGAAGTCGATGGTGAAAGAGGAGTGACTCCTTGGCTGTCCGATGATGGAAAGTGGGGATCTAGATTCGACTTTGGGAGGCTATATAGGCCTTAAACTCGGTGAACAAAGCGAGCGATTTGAATACCCATGCTCATGGTTGGGATTGTGATGCTTTGTCTCGCGCTGCATGGTACTTCACTTAGCGCGTTTCTCAAAGTTCGTAAAAATCTCCTAGATCAAATATGTCCTTTCATCTAATATGATTATGAGTAGGTCATTCCTGTAAGTTGTCAACGATTGCAAAAAGGAGAGGGTGAAATGAGGAGCAACTTCGTGTCTTGCGGTGCATCAGTGCTATCTACGACAATCGCCGCTTGAAGGCTCTAGAATCTACAAATTATGGGACAGAGAGTCTATCTCGTTTGGGACCAGTGGTATAAAGAAAAATCAATCATCCTTCTACACAAGGGAGAGGTGTTCAGATCATTGATGTGTCTCCGGGGTAGCTGAAGGAGATCGTGGAGGAGCGGGTAAGTCGCAGGCCACGGCACGGCGTTCGGTTGCCGCCAGAATGAATACGTGACCGGTACTGTGCAGTTCAGAAGCCCAGTTATGCAACCGTGCCTTTATTTATGGACGGAAGATTGTGTGTTTCTGGCATCAATTGAATTATGTCTTCAATCTTGATGCCTCTTGGGCAGGAGGCATGATGTCATCCGCCAGTCACGTGCAGCTGATTTGGTTTTAGATTTCAGGCACCGCGATGTTTGAGACTGCGGCCACTTTGTGCCGGCCCATCAACAGTCTTTATTGAGCTGTGCAGCCAGAACGAGAACCCGATGTACCTGCCAGCGGCTGCCAATGGACACCACAAAGGCAACTGCCCGGCCGGCGTGCGATACATGCCGCTCCCGCAAGACGAGGTGTGATCGAGCTCTGCCCAGATGCGGTCGGTGCGTCAGGGTCGGGCAGGCCTGTGGCTATGCCGGACCGCGATATCCTTCGCGCGAGGAACTCTCTGGCCAACTGTCCCAGCTGCAGGATCGTTTGACCCAGGCTGAGGCCCATATCTCCGCGCCTCACCTCCCCAAGCTTGCTGCTTCGTATACTCCAAGCCCCCCTCACTTCCATCCAGAAGGACCAAACGTCGAGCACTTGGATGTTAGAAGCAGTCCTCGAAGACAGGAAGATGACTATGTCCCCGTTGACCCCAACTTGATGGCCAACTTAAGCCCTGAACCTATCAATGTTCCGTCATTTACGAGCTCTTTCCCCGATGGGATTGATTTCTTTTCCACCATGAATGTCGACTGGCCGTTGGAAGGGCCTGTCAACAGCCTGGAGACGACGCTGCCTGCGTCTGCCTCTCCCCAAACGCCACTTCCTTTTCAGGGCCAAGAAGGCACAGAGACACACCCTGGGACGGTGCAGATGTCGGTCCAGGACCTCTCAATATTGCATCAGAAATACTTCAGCATCCTTTTTCACGCTTGGCCATTTCTATCCCAACAGAGGTTCGAGAAAGAGTTGATTTTCCAGCCAGACTGGCCCCCGATACTTGCCCTTAGCCACTCTATCGCCCTGTACGCCACCACAGTCTCGCAAACTCACCAGCACTTACAGCAGCGCTGCTACAAGGCTGCCCGCAGATATATCGAAATGTCAGAGATGGACGACAATGAAAGCAGCCTGGCTAACCTGAGCCTCTTCCAAGCGCTCATCTTCGTGATTCGATACGAAATCACCAGTCAACCATTGACCCGCGCCTGGATGACCCTGGGACGCGCCATCCGTCTCTCCAAGATGCTCAAACTTCACAAAATAGACAGCCATGAGTCAGAAATGACCCCGGCGGTCGACTTGGAGGTTCGTCTACCGCCTCCAGCACATGATATGGAGCTTGAAGAAAGGCGGCGGTCTTTCTGGAGCCTATATATTCTGGAGAGTTATGCCAGCACGCGAACAGGGATTCCTTGTGAACTTGGCGAAGCCAAATCATTCCAAACTCGACTGCCATCGCCAGGGCACCTTGATTCCGGTTTCGTAGCGATAGAGATGCCATATTTAGGCGAAGTCAGCGCCATGCTGCCACACGCCCTACCTCCGATATCGCCTTACACTGGGTGCATACTTATGGTGGAACTGACTCTACAGTGTTTCCAGCATGCCACTTTGCGACAGGTCCCTGGTGAAGGTGTAAGCTTTTGGGATAATCACTATAGGCTCATCAAGGAATTTACTCAGCGGGCTTCTCTCTTGAAAGCCCATTTGGATACCAACGCTGTGAAGACCGATCCCATTTCGTTCTCTCTGCATATGAATCTATGCGCCGCCGAGATTTATCTCCACGAGGCCGCCATGAAAGAGATACTTCTACAGCAGTTGCCACACTCGATGGCGAGTGAGAGCAAGAAGTGCTCTACTGCCGCCGCCTTCCGAATCGCCAATGCTGTAAGACTCAACTGGCCGTCTCGCGGATCCGAGTCAGATCTCCTAGCCCTGCAAGCAACATTTATCGCCTGGCCGCTTGTTATGGCAATGAGGTTTCTCAGCCAGGAACTCTCTTCTGCCGAAGCGAAAAGCATCTCTGACGGCGTTGCCGTATCGCACTCGTTGCGGCTGCTCCAGGCTGCACTGGATCACGTTGAGAAATCAGATGGGTACTGGCATTCATTGACACGATTTGTAACCCCGACGCTTCAAAGATGGGATGAAAAGAGCGCGTTCGACATGAACAGCTTGTGATGTTTTCCATAGATTCTCTCGGCGACATATTTATGATTGCATTAATCGATCAGAGTGAAACCGTTGTCGACCCCCCGTAGCCATCTTCACGCCAACTAATTGTCCGCCTCCTGCAGTTCATCGCCTTGCCATATGCGAGTTAGTCGCATCTCGTTTGAGATCAAATCTTCTCCATGCCGGCTAATATACCTGAAACATTCCCGTCGCTAACGAGGTATAGCAGCATCAAATGCTACGACGTCAGTTTGCATAACCAAATGTGATTAGACTAGGCCAATATGATCCCCGTTTATCCCAGTACGCGTTGGCCGAGCCGCTGCTTCTATCAAGGCACATGTCAGCGTTTACCGATCAACACCATCCCGATACGACGGGAAACAACGTACGGTGAGGGGCAACGAGAGCAGAAAGCTGATCGCAGCTGCTACTGTGAAGAAAACCCAAATGATCTTCATCGACGCGGTGACCTCGGGTACGACCAGCGACTGCTCCTCTGGGGAAAGTCGCAAATATGCCGGGCTCTTCGTTCCGGCCATCAACTGCACGATCTCGCTCGCTGCGGTGTCGGGAAGCACCCTCATGATCTTCTCCAGGGCGATATTCTGGAACAATGACCCAGCAATGGCAAGAAAGAGGACCATGCCAAGGTCTTGTGCTAGTGATTCGTCATCCATCGGTTAGCGTTTGCATATCACGTTCGGACAAAGACGGGCAGACTCACAAATTGTCATTGCCCCGACAGCATTGGCCGTGTCGCCCGCAGGGACCAGGGATTGCACAATGGCGAACCCGGCAACAATATAAGAGCCCGCTCCTGCACCTACGAGAATCATGAAGCCGTAAATGGGTCCGTTGGGAGTATTCTCTTCCACCGTGCCTGAGATCTAGTCAGCGACCAACCTTGACGGAGAAACCATCCAAAAGCCTACACATGAGAGCGGAACCGACGAGAACCAGCGCGCTCCCGAGGATGTACCACGGCCCGTAATACGGGAGTCGAGGCATGAAGACACCGTTGATCATGGAGAAGACGACCAAGAAAATGACGAGGGGCAGTAACCTCACACCAGCATCTAGAGGCCCATCACCCTGAGACTGCCATTAGTTTTTTGCGGATCAGTGTGACATGCCCTGCAGATTTGCCACTTACCCTTACAAATTGGAAATAGAGCGGAATGTAATAAGTCATCGCCTTCAGCTCGGTCAGCCTTTGATGATGGCGCATAGTCCTCCATTGTTACTTACAAGAACGATACCCGAGGATAAGAACACCTGAGCTTGCATGAGCACCAAGATGGGCCGGCGCAGGAAGTGGACTGGGTAAAGCCGGTTCTCCTTGCTCACGCCCGGATGAAGCTTGGCCACCGCCACAGCTACGACCAGGAGCACTCCGGTGACACTCCACAGGGCAATCATTGTGCCTGAGCTGAACGAGTACACGATACCGCCAAAGGAGATGGCGAGGGTCAGGCATGCCGCACCAGCGAGGAAGACGACCGTCATGGCCCAGTCGATCATCGTGAGCCTCTCCCATGCTGATTTGGCTGGCTGGGGGTCGACGGCGGGGAAGAGAAAAAGGTACGCAGGGGCAAATATGGCGCCGATGACGAGATTTATATAGAAGCCCTTTTCGGAACCGGTCAGCAATGTATCCTATATCGCAATATTGGAAAGTAACCACACACCCATCTCCACGTCGCAGCGCTCTCAGCAAATGCGCCGCCAACTACAGGACCAAGAACACTCCCGATCCCCCAGACGACGGTGCTGCCGGCCAGGTAGGCGGGCTTCTCGTGCGGCGAGGTCAGGACGGAGACGTACGTAAGCGTCCCGGAGTACATGCCTGAGCCGCCCACCCCCGCGACGACGCGGCCGATGATGAGGGCGTCCATGGTCGGGGCGGCGCCACAGATGGCGCTGCCGGCCTCGAAGAGGAGGATGTTGGCGATGTACACCCACTTGTTGTTGAGGACGCCGTACGCCTTCCCCCAGGGGAGGATGGCCATGGTGCCGAGGGCGAAGCCGGTGCCGACCCAGGGGAGGAGCTCGACGCTGCCGAAGTCGTTGATGATGGCGGGCTGGATGTCGGCGACAATGGTGTTGTCGAGGGCGAAGAGGAAGGTCGTTGAGAGCATGGCGGCGTATGCTATAGCCCACTGGTGCAGTTTCTGTTAGTGAAGTGTGTATTGAGATGGACGATGCGTGTTGGGGAAGGACATACGCGCCAGCCGTGGATGGTTCGTGGAGGGGATGAGGGTTGTTTGTCCCCTGGGCC